GCAACCCCGCCCACTGACGGTGGTTCCACCCAGTACCGCAGGGCCCGCCTACTAACGGGACCCCGCCCACTAACTGGGGCCCCGCCCACTCCCGCCTGGCCCCTGACCGACCCTGACCATGGAGGACTTCTATGACGAGGTCAGGCGCCCTGCCTCTCAGCCCTACAGGGCCGCAGAGGAACCTCCCGATGCCTGGCAGGCCTCCGACAACGCTGAGGTCGCTGAGGACGCTGAGAACCAGTCCGACGGCGCCGGCGGCAAGGCAGAGCCCACCCGCTGCCTGACGCCCGGCGGCTACGTGGGGCTGGACACGCTGCCAGAGCAGCTGGTGGACAGGCGCGTGCGGCAGGGCTTCCGCTTCAACCTGCTGTGCGTGGGGGAGACCGGCATGGGCAAGTCCACGCTGGTGGCCACGCTCTTCAACGGCCGCCCCGACGGCGCCCCGGCCTCGCACTTCCGCCCGGCCGTGGGGCTGCGCGCAGAGACGCGCGAGCTGCGCGAGAGCCGCGTGTCGCTGACGCTGACCGTGGTGAGCAGCGTGGGCTTCGGGGACCAGGTGGACCGCGAGGACAGCCACCTGCCCATCGCCAGCTACATCGACGCGCAGTTCGAGGCCTTCCTGCAGGAGGAGCTGCGCGTGCCGCGCGCGCCCGCCGCCCGCCCCGACTCGCGGCTGCACGCGTGCCTCTACTTCCTGGCGCCCACGGGCCACTCGCTCAAGGCGCTCGACCTGTGCGCCCTGCGGAGCCTGGGCAGCAGGGTGAACGTCATCCCGCTGGTGGCCAAGGCCGACACGCTGTCGCGCGACGAGCTGCAGCGCTTCAAGGAGCGCGTCATGGCCGAGCTGGCCAGCCAGGGCGTGAGCATCTACCGCTTCCCGACCGACGACGAGGCCACGGCCGGCCTCAACGCCGCCATGAACGCGCAGCTGCCCTTCGCCGTGGTGGGCAGCACGGACGAGGCGCTGGTGGGCGGCAGGCTGGTGCGCGCGCGGCGCTACTGCTGGGGCACGGTGGAGGTGGAGAACGAGGAGCACTGCGACTTCGTGAAGCTGCGCGAGATGCTGGTGTGCACCAACATGGAGGACCTGCGCGAGCAGACGCACGCGCGGCACTACGAGCGCTACAGGCGCCGCCGGCTGCGGGAGCTGGGCTGGGCGGACGGGCGCCCCGCCGCCCAGGTGGTGGACGTCGCGGCCCGCAGGCGCGAGCTGCAGGAGGCCTGGCGCGGGAAGGAGGCGGAGCTGAAGCAGGCGTTTGCCAGGCGGGTGAAGGAGAAGGAGGCCGACCTGAAGCAGGCGGAGAGGCAGCTGCAGGCCAGGTTCGAGCAACTGGGATGCACCCAGCGCAGGGAGGCCCTGAAACTGGAAGACAAGAGGAGAGCGCTGGAGGAAGAAATGCAGGCCTTCTCCAGAAAGAAAGCCACCTTCGAGATGTCCCAGAGCCGGGTATCAGCGTCGTGTGCCAGCAAGAACAAGGACGATGACAGTAAATACTACTATTATATGTAACCCCGGAGTTTCACCATGCAGCTCATCCCAACCTAAACTTACAAGCTATAAAGTATGTTTTCATTTAGCAAAAGTGAAAAAGTTATAATTATGCTTTGATTTTTTTGCTGTTTTATGTGTTTCTTCATGAATTATGTGGCAAAAGCCACAGCTGCTGACATTAATGGAAAAATATTTTTAAGGATAAGCCAAGACATGAACCAGAGTGGATGGTATTATGTACACACTCACTTTTGCTAGAAAACCCTTAGTTTCTATTTTGAAGTGAATCTGGATGTTTTCCCCTGGTGGCAAGTGACTGTCACTTTGGTCTGTGTTATACCAAAGAGCAAAGGCTCAGAGCTCTTGGAAGTACAGAATGAATTCATGTTATCCATTGCATTCATATTCCAGGATGAGCCCTTTTTTCAGTATACACGAAACACAAATTTTGAGGAATAGGTTTTGAACGGTATTGGAAAGCTAAAACTAATTTGGCGTGAGTTGTCCTTCTCCTTCTCCCCTTCCCATATATAGGATGTTACTCAGATTAATCCCCAGGGTGGTCACACGGAGATGTATCCCCGGACTTTATTATTTATAGGCAGTGTCTCGCTAAATTGACCTAGCTGCACTCAATTTTGATCCTGTTGTCTCAGTTTACCATAGTACTGAGATAGCAGATTTGTGCCACCATGCTTGGTTTAGAACTTTTTACATTTTTGATAAAATTACCCAGTTGAGGGGCGGAGAGTAGAACACATAACTTCCATGCATGATGCAAAAAAATTAATTTAAAACAATTGACATACTCTTTTTTTTTGGTTTGTATTTTCTGTTCCAATAGTAAGGGTCAAGTGGGCATGGCGGCATATGACTGAGTGGTTGAGCCAGGAGAGCTGCAAGTTCAAGTCTAGGCAAGCCTGTTTAGCAACTTATCAAGACCCTGTTTTGGGAAGAGGGGTGGGGTCTATGGGTGTAGCTCATTTCAAACCCCTGGATTACTCCTTAGTACCATAGTCAGTCATTCAATCAATCAATGAAACAAGTTGGTGTGTTAGTTTTCCCACACTGTGAGAAAATATCTGAGAAAATCAACTTAAAGGGAAGGAAGGTATTACGGCTCACAGTGTCCGTGGAATCAGTCCATGGCTGGCTGCCTCCTTCATTGTTTCACAGCCTGTCCTGAGGCAGAACACTGTGATCAAAGGGCGTGGCAGAGCAAAATTTAACACCTGATAGAGGCCAGGAAGGAGAGAGTGAGAGATAGATAAAAGAAGGGGTTGTGGACAAAATACGCCCTTCTAAAGACTATGCCCCATAACCTACCTGTTCCCATGTCATAAAAGACCTTCCAGGCACAAACCATTAAGAGCCGGTGAAGAGCTGGAGCCATGCCTCTGTTGCTGATGGGAGTGTTAAGTGATGCCACTTCTGGGAAACAGTTTGGCTGCTTCTTAGAAGTTCACCAGCATTGCTGTTTGTCAGCTACGCCATACAGAATCAACAAGTGTTAAAGCGAGAACTTGTTTGTGAGTGTTCATAGCCGTTCTGGTCACAGTAGCCAAAAGGGAGAAACAGCCCCATTACAGTGTAGACCCTAAATGTCTCCCAGAAGCTCCAGTGTTGACTGTTTGGTTCCTGATACCATAAGAATGTTTAGGAGTCTTTAGGAGGTGATGGAATGATGATTAATGGATTAATCTACTTATGGATTCTGAGTTTAGTGAGCCCTGGGGGAGGTGTTCTCGTGTAGAAATGAGCTCCCTCTCTGTTTCCTGCCTGTCATGAGGTGAGCCCCTGGAATAGGCCTTTTCCCCTTGAGCTGGTTGCCTGTGGGGATTCTGGCACAGTGACATAGGCCAGCACAAACCCAGAAACACTCAGTGAATGAAAGGTGAGACCGAGTTACAAATTCATACAGTGAATATTGTTCAGTGATTAAAAGGAACAAAGTCTGAGCACTGTGGTCCATGCTTATAATCATAGTACTTGGGAGACTGAGGCAGGAGGACCATGAGTTTGAGGCCAGCCTGGGCTACACAGCAAGACCTTGTCAAAAAGAGAGGGGCCTGGGAATGTAGCTTAGTGCAGAGGCCCTTTGTTGAACCCCAGTGCTGGGGGAAAAAAGCTGACATGTAGCTCTGTGGTAATGTGTTTGCCTAACGTGTGAGGTGCTGGGTTCAATCAGCAGCACCAAAAAAATTAGCAGGAATGAAGCATGCGTACACGCTCCAGCCTGGGCTTTGAAAACATTATGCCAAGGGACAGAACTGAGGCACAAGGCTGCGTACTGCATGATTCTGTTTATGTGGAGAATCCACAATGGGCAAATTCATACAGACAGACAGAGAGGTCAGTGGCTGCTGAGAGCCAGCGAGAGGGCTCCTAGGGTGGCTGCTGACATGCCTGGAGTTTCCTTTGGGAGCCAGAGAACCTCTGGCTCCAGATGATGGTAGGTGTAGTTAGTGCCCTGGAAAGTAGACTTCAAAATGGTTTTGAGGATATAGTTTATGTTATGTCTACTTTACCACTAAAAATGTGGCTATATTCAGGTTATACTGTGTAAAGAGATGAAATGGGTATGCTATTAAAATAAACTTAATTTCTCATTTGGAATACTTCTAGAAGTTTTATGGATTATTTATTTAGGGACAGGGTCCCAATATGCAGTTCAGGCTGGCCTTGAACTTACTGTGTAGCCCAGGCTGGCCTCTAACTCAAAGCGATCCTCCTGCCTCAGCCTCCCAAGTGCTGGGATTACAGGCATATGCTACCAAGCCCAATTTATGGATTTTCAGAGCAGGAAAAAACTATACAGCTTGACAGCTTATGCCTACATCAAGGATTTTGTCAAAAATATTCAGCAACTTTTTTTCTTCTTTTATACTGAGGATCAATCCCAGGACTTTTGCACTGAGCTATATCCTCAGCCTTTTTTTCTAATTTTTTTTTTTTTTTTTTGAGACAGTGTCTCACTAGGTTGCTAAGTTGCCCAGGGTGGGCCCAAACTTGTGATCCTCCTACCTCAGCCTCCTAGAATGCTGGGATCAGAGACATGCGCCACCATGCCTGGCTTCAGCAACTTCCTAATTTTCACGAGTGTTAGTATTCATGAATGCCCACACGAATTTTTCCACTGCAAGGTTTATAGTTCTCTCTGACCCACTGGTTGGAATGCTGATCCTAAACTCAAAAGAAACCTTGCAAAAGCCAATCTTGTCTGATAAACTGTGGCTCAATAGACAAACATTCTGATTTATTTCTGTCTCTAACACCACTGGATACCGGGTCAACCAGTTGTGCAAAATCATTAGCCCACATACTAGAATAGTATGATTTCTTCACCTGTAAATTAAGTTACTATAAATATGAGTATGCAGAAGCAGAATACTTAGGACTGACCTAAGGATGAAATACTCGATCTGTATTTGTGCTGTGGGCTATGCACAGATGTGCTATCCTTTGCTTTTCAAAGAAAGTTTTAAAGAAGTAGTCATCTACTGCCATATTGCTTTTTATAATGGTTGTACTTTATAGAATATTTGCTTACAGGAAAAAACATTTCAAAATCTGGGAAAGCAATTTAAAAGGGATTTTTCCAATGACAGTGTTAAGTTGATCTCCTGTTCTGTAACGTTACAGGATGCAAGATCTTCCGAGTTTTACTGCGTTTCAGGATTGTTCTTGAAAAGATATTCTGCCTACAATTAAAAGGAAAAGTAAACAGTTTACAAGATATTTATTATTAGTTTATTTTTTTGTGCTGAGGATCAAACTCAGAAGTGCTGTACCACTGTGCTATATCCCCAGCCCTTTTTACTTTTTATTTTGAAACTGAATCTTGTAAATCACTAAGTTGATCAGGCTGGGCTAAACTTCTGATCCTCCTGCTTTAGACTCTCAGAGTGTTGGCCCTGCAGTTACATGGCACATGTATAATTAAAAATGAGGGCTGGGGTGTAGCTTGATAGTAAAGCACTTTTTTTTAATTAGTCCATGTCTGGAGCACATAATGTTTACACTTCTTGTGCAGAGTTGTGCCTGCATATGGCACATCTTAATTCCTTTTCCCATCCCCTTCCCTTTTGAGAATGATCTATGTTCCTACTTTCTATGATCTATCTTTTATTTTGCTCTTTATTGATAGAGCACGTCTTGCCTAATACCAGTGAGGTTCTGGGTTCAATCTCTATACACACACACATTGCCCACAATCCAAACACACAGCCAGCAATACAAACACACTGCCAGGTGTGATGGTGCAGGCCTGTAATCCCAGCACTCAGGAGGCTGAGGCAGGAGGATTGCTGAAAGTTTGAGGCCAGCCTGGGATATATAGTGAGTTCAAGGCCAGCCTGAACTACATGGTGAGAACCTGACTCAAAAAACAAACAAACAAACAAACAAACAAACAAACAAAAATTATGCTTCCAAATGAATAATAATAAAAATCATACTATATAAGAATATGTGAGAGAGAGGGAGAGAGAGAGAGGGAGAGAGGAACAGGAGGGAGAGGAGGAGGAAAAAGGAAGAGGAAGAGGAAGTGGAGGGGAAATCTTGAAATCTTGTTGCAGACTGTAAATCTATTGAGAGCCATTTCCCAAATAACCAGACAGCTTCTCTATCTCAACTAGTTTTCTGCTAAATTTCAGGCATATTTTATTTTCAAATCAATATTTAGAAAATAAATTTCTTACCAGAAAATCAACAGGATCATCTGGTCTGACTTTACAGCACTCATTCAGACCTTGCACGAGAGTTGGCATAACATGGGTGATTAAGTAGTTCCTCAGGGGAGTAGACTGAGCCTCCAGTAATTCTCTTTCTTCTCTCTTCACTTCCTCTAGTTGTTTATTCTATAAATAGGACATTTGGGGTGGGTTACATTTATAGTCAGAAAGGAAAAAACATTTTTACATGACTCCCCCCAGAGTGCATTAGAATTAGATACTTTTTTCCCCCCAGAGACAAGGTCTCCCTATATAGTTCAGGCTGGCCTTGAACTCACTATGTAGCCCAGGTTGGCCTCAAACAGAGATCCACCTGCCTCAGTCTCCAGTGCTAGGATTACAAGTATGTACTTTTTTTTTTTTAAGGCAGGGTCTCACTATGTAGTCCATAACAGGCTTGAACTTTGAACTTCCTATGTAGTCCAGGCTGGCCTCAAGCTTGCAATTCTTCCACCTCAGCCTCCCCAGTGCTGGGATCATAGATATGCATCCCTCTATGGGTTGGATTTTTTTCCAGTACTGGGGACTGAATACAGCATCTCTGTACTGAGCATTTTACTTTTTTTTTTGTACCAGGGATCGAACTCAGGACCTTGCATTTGCCAGGCAGGCGCTTGTGCCACTGGGCTACATCCCCAGTGCATTTTACTTCTTGATACAGAATCTTTCTAAATCACTGAGTTGCCCAGGCTGGTCTTGAACTTTCAATCCTTCTGCTTCACCTGCCAGAGTGCTAGGATTACAGGAGTACACCACCATGCCCATGCACCATGCTCAGCTTGGATAACTTCTTATACCAAAATAATTTCCAGCTGCCCAGGTGAAGGAAAGAGAAAGAAGAAAGAGAAAGAAAAAAAGAAAAGAAAGAAAGAAAGAAAGAAAGAAAAGAAAGAAAGAAAGAAAGAAAAGAAAGAGAAAAGAAAAAAAGGAAGAAAAGAAAAGGAAGGAAGGAAGGCAGAAAGAAAGAAAGAGAGAGAGAGAAAGGAAGGAAGTAGTACTAGAAAGTCCAAAGTGTATGAGTGTGGTGACAGGTGTACTCCTTGCTTGGCACACCCCCTCTCTTAGGAAATCATCACTCCAGATTTCTTTTAGGAAATTAGCATGTGGTAGTACATGCCTATAATCCTAGAACATGAAATCTGAGACAGGAGGACCATGAGTTTGAGGTCAACCTATAGTGAATTCAAGGCTGCCCCAAAGTTCTTAATGGGACACTGTCTAAAAAGAACAAAAATTCTCTCTTTTGAGCCTAAGGGTGTGGGTAGCCATAAGTCCATCATTCAGCACACCCCTTGGCCTTGGACATCAGTTAAGGGTGAACACAGCAAGGTGAAGCCAACTGTAGAAGATGGAACACAGAAGGCTTTCTGGGTCCTTGGTGATATCTGAGCCCCTAGATTGGGCCTCACCCAAAGCAAATCCCACCCCTGCACTGCTCAAAGAATCCATAAGTTTTCTTTATGTCTGTGATATCTTGAGTTTGCTTTTCTGTAACTTTCAAGATAAAGAGTTCTATTATTTGTTTGAAAAGAGATCTTCCTCAGCAAGACAGTAGACTTCGTGAGTGTTCATAGCAGTTCTGGTCACAGTAGCCAAAAGGGAGAAACAGCCCTGTTATAGTTTAGACCCTAAATGTCTCCCAAAAGCTCCAGTGTTGACTGTTCGGTACAAGTAGTAGCAAAATGGGGGAAGATGGATGGATTTGACTACATAGAAGCATAAAACTTTTGTTTGGCCACAGGAAACACCATAAATATTACTGTTGTTGTTGTTTGTTTGGTTTTTTGAGATAGGTTCTCACTGTGTAGTTAAGGCCGGCCTTGAACTCATGGCAGTCCTCCTGCTGCAGGCTCCCAAGTGCTGGGATTACAGATGTGCACCACCAGAGGCTGAAGCAGGAGAATCACTGTGAGTTTAAGGCCATTCTGGGCTATATAGCAAGACCCTGTCTCAAGTCAATAAAGAACTATAAATGATGAATGGAAAAACACTGTTTGCAACACATTATATAAAACAAGGACATTATGAAGATTTATGTAAGTGCACAGTATTTGCCAGGCACTGTCTGTATAGTTTAAATAAAATAACTCATTAGTCACACTGACCATGCTATGATGTAGGCATTATTATTACCCTCACTTTACAAGTGGAGAAACTCAGATACAAAGGTCACAGAGAGTGAAATGGGATTTGAACTCTAACAACACTTGCAAGATCAACTGAGGCTATTCTTATTTCTACTGTACTACTTTATCACAAAATAATAAGGAAAGGACACCGGCAGGGAAAATGTGAAACATGCAAAGAAACTGAAATTCCCAACAAATATAAAAAAGTTGTCAAATCAGTGATCAGGGAAATGAATATGAATGCAATGAGATTGGGTTTTGTTTGTCAGCTGATTTGAGAAAACAGAGGGAGAGGAAGTATAGGGAAACAGGTAAATGAGATATGAACTAAATGATACATGAACTGGATTACCCTTGATGGAGGGTAGTCTTGAAATATGTATCAAAATGTCTACACTGACCCAGCAAACATTAGACAATTTATGCTAAGGAGATTCATCAGTCACCAAAATATATATGCATAAGGACATTCCTTCTTCCTTCCTCTTCTTCTTTCCTTTCCATGATATTTAATGAGTGCCTGTTATATGTCAGGCACTGTTCTAGGCATTGAAAATACGGTAGTGGTCAACATGGACAGCAATCCCTCTACTCATGTAACTTAAATTCTGTGCCAGGAGAAGGCAAGAAACAAGATAAATATACAAAGTATGTTAAAATGAGTACAAAGAGGAAAGCTAAAAAGTATAAAAGGAATAAAACATGTGAGAAGGGGCCAGAGTTAAAAATCTATATATGGTAAGCAGAAAAGGCCTCAAGAGAAAGATGACTTTTCATTAAAGATGTGAGGCAGCTGGGAGTGGTGGAGCACACCTGTAATCCTAGCTCTCGTGAGGCTGAGCTAGGAGGATTCCAAAAGTTTGAGGCCAACCCGAACTGCATGGCAAGACGCTGTCTCAAAAAAAGAAAAAAAAAAGATATGAGGCAAATGAGGAATTTAGTTACATGGGTAGTGTGAGAAGACCAACGCAGCACTGGCTGAAATTGGAGAACTATTAGAAGGAGGCAGGTCACACAAAAGCTTGTGAGCTACAGTAAGAAGCATAAACTTTCCTCTATAATGGTGCTGCTGCATGGCATGGGAAGAGTTTTAAACAGAGAATGGTTCTGGTAGATCTGCCTTTTAGAAGGATCCCCAGGCAGGAGCATAAGAACAGACTGGAGATGGACAGGGGCAGAGCTGGCAAGGGCAGCAAGAGTGCATTATGTAATTCTTTTTATTTGTTTATGTTTTTTTGAGACAGGGTCTCACTATGTAACCAGGCTGCCCTTGAACTCAGAGCCATGCTCCTGTCTCACTCAGTCTCCTGGTTGCTGGGGTTACAGGCATGTGCCACCGTGCCTGGCAGCGTTGTATAATTCTGGTAAGAAATACTGACCCTGATCTGGAAAAGTGGAGAGCTGTGGATGCAACTGAGTGCTGTTCTGGGGAGCAGAATCACTTACATCTGGGGACATTGTGATCCAGGGAACAAGGAAGATGATGTGTAGAGGTGTGATGCTTAAATAAATGGAGGAAAATTGGGTCAAATCACAAGTCAACATGCAGAATGCTATATATTTACATGATGTGTGTTAATACCATTCATGGGTGGTAGGTTTTTTATTAATGCTAAGCATAGACCATGTATTTTTTTTTTTTAAAGTACTACACATGACAAAACAAACAAACAGACTTGTCACGGGCATTTCTATGTCCTCACTATAGCTGGCACAGATGCTTTGCCAGCTTCCTCCCCAGACTCTCACACACTCACCCACTCCTCCCAGCGAGCCATCTTCTCCGCTGTCTCCGCAGCCTCCTTCTGCTCGCGCGCTGCCTCTTCAGCAGCCTCGTTGGCCAGGCGCACCTCTGCAGCCTTCTGCTCCAGCTCTGCCTTCTCCTCATCTGTTAGACCATAATTCCGAGGCTCCCCAATCTCTCTGATGAGCTGTTTGATAGCAAGCCTGTTCTGAGCATCTTCAAGTTTCCCTACATCTGTAAATCCCAAGAGAAAGGAGATTGACACATACTTAGATGCCAGCCCTGCCAGCAACTGGAAGATGTTTTAGTAGTGCAAGTTTGTGACAGTAAATGATGTCCGTTGCCACACTAGGGTTTCCTTTTCTAGTTGGCAGCATCTTCAGGATTTCTTTTCTCATGAGCAAATATTACACGAGTCTGAAAGTCCGGGTAGGAGGAGTGTGTTTGGGTCTGTGAATTCTAATAATCATGCTGGGGTGAGTAAATGCCAGGGGGAACTGACTGGATTGAGAATGTCCCCAAAGGCCTGTGTGTTAAGGCTTAGTCCTAGGAGGGTGCCCTGGAAGGTGGTGGAGCCTTTAAGAGGAGGAGCTCTGGTGGGAGGTCTTTCAGTCAGTGGCACTGTGCCCTTGAAGTGATTGTGACAGTCTTCATTTACTTCCTGGCTGTGAGGTAAACAGTTATGATCTGACACGTGTGTTCCCTCATCACAGGTCCAAAGCAAAGGCCGACACAACATGGACTGAACCCTCTGAAACTGCAAGCCAAAGTAAAACTGTTATTGTTTATTCTCTTGAGGGGCTGGGGATTGAACTCAGGTCCTTCCACATGCTAGAGAGGCACTCTAAGACCTTCTTTGTAAGTTAGCTAACACAGGTCTTTTGTTATGGTGATGGAAAGTTGGCTAGCACAGACCACTCCAAAAGTAATGGGCTCTCCATCCCTGAAAATGTTCAAGTAAAGGCTAGGATACTTCTTCCAGAGGTTTCCACAGAAGGAAGTTCTGTATGTGTTGGAAGCCAAGAAAAATGACCTGAAGGTTCTAACTTTTGTTTCTGAAAGTCATTGACTCTGGGATAGATTTTCAATTCATAATAAATTAACCATCTCCCTTAGCCTTCTTGAATATGAGAAAATCCAAACTGCAGGTCTTAGTCACTTTCTCATTGCTGAGACACAACACCTGACACCTGCAACTTAAGGCAGAGAGGTTTGTTTGGGTTCCTGTGTCCGTCTATGGCTGGCTGGCTCCAAGGCAGGATGGCACAGGGGCACAGCAGAGGGGAGCTGCTCACAGCATGGTGGACAGGAAGCAGAGAGTGAAGAAAGGAGCCGGGAAGGCAGATGAACCCTTCCAGGTCACATCTCCAGTGACCTGTATCTTCCAGCCAGGCCCCACTTCCCAACACCAAGCCAGCTGTAGCGCCCCATAATCCCATCATCTTCCACAATCCCTGCCTTTGAGTGCATGAGGCTTTGGGGGGACATCTAGATATAAATCCTAACACCCCAGAATACATGACTAATGTTAATATCAAGACTAAAGAGAAAGGAAGAGGAAGAGGAGGAAGAAAAGGAGGAAGGCTTATTAGACAACGAGCTCCCCATAAAGACACTGAGGTAGTAAATTCTACACACTGTCTTGGGTTTTCCCAGGTGTCCCAAGAGAATGGTGCACAGTGGACACATCTGGGCACTGATCCTGCCCAGAACCTTCCGTGGAGTCGCTGCTTGCCCCGCCCTTGCCCCAGCCACAGATGCGCCTGTCTCTCAGTTCGTGTGACCTTGATGTAGACAAATGCCGCCAGGTTCTACCATGAGAACAGGGAGTGACGGGGCCATGGATTAGTTACAAGCAGAAGCGAGGCCTTCAAAAAGCAAAAAACTCACACAAAAACAAAAAAGCCACTTGAGGCACCTCTTGATTGTGTGACCTCTGACAAGTGTAGGTGTTTCTCTCCTTGCTTCCTCTGAGTAATTACAGCTCTAGGGTCACTAAGTGGCCCAGAACGTTTTTGAGAGGGCTCTATCTGAGGAGAAAGTGTTCTGGGAAACAAAGTCCCCAGCACTCCTGCCCCCGGGGCACTGCTCATTGGACGGGGTGGGTACCCAGCCTAAGCTTGATGTGAATGGTGCCCTTCTAGGAATGTGGCACTGGGACCCAGAGAGCCAAGTCCAGCTCTGAGCCCGGCTCCCAGTGTGACTTGCAAACTCCAGGGCAGCGGGCAGCCTCCATCCATCACGAGAGACAGGCAGAGACACAGAGATGCAGAGACAGAGACACAGACACAGGGACAGAGAGTACAGAGAAGGAAGGAGAGACAGACAGGGAGACAGAGAGAGACGAAAAGAGAAAGAGGAAAAAAAGGAGAGAGAGAGAGGAGAGAAAGAGAAACAGAGAGACAGAGAGATCCATATCCAGGTGCACAAAGGAAAGCTTGGCTGCCGGCATCTTCCCAGCTCCTGCTGCAGACCTCCCGAGGCCAGACCCCGAGTCGTCTTCCCGAAGAACATCTCTCCACTTTCCTGTTGCTTTATCAACCCGTTGTCATTGTCCTGGTGAGGTCAGATGTGCCCAGCACAGAAGCAGGCGGGGACAATGATGCTCACGTGTGCCTCCCTCCCTGTCATTTCTGTTCTTCTTAATGCTTCTCCCTCAAGCTTTCCTGATATATATATAGATAGATAGATACATATATATACAGATATAGATATAGATATATATTTTATTTTTTTGAGACAGGGTCTCACTCTGCAGCTCAGGCTGTCCTTAAACTCACTATGTAGCCCAGGCTGGTTTCGAACTCACAGCGATCCTCCAGCCACAGCCTCCCGGGTGCTGGGATTACAGGCGTGCGCCACCATGCCCGGCACTTCCTGATACTTTTATAAACAATTTTTGCGAGCTTTACTGACAAGATGACAATGACTATTTTCTGAAATTCACCATTCTTTCTTAGTTCTATAATTAAAGAGTGTAAAATAATTTCCATATTAGTAGGCGTAGAAAGTTTGGCTTTTACATAGAAAACATGTCCGACAAGCAGAAACTCATCAGGATGAGGGTAAAACCCAGCCACTGCTGAGGGCACAACAGAGACGAGTTTACAGATTTGGAAGTTATTTTCCTATTTCTTTCTCCTCCTCTTCCCCTCCCCCTCTTCCTCCTTCTTGTTTTTTTGAGACAGTGTCTCACTATGTCCAAGCTGGCCTCAAGCTCCTGGCAGTCCTCCTGCCTCAGCCTCTCCAAGTGCTGGATTACAGGTGTGTAGCACCACACCCAGCTTTCTATTTCCTAATAGTGCACCATGTTATGCCTTTGTATGACACTAACTACGAACTCCTCCCTGTGCCAGGAACTGGTGCCTTTCCTCTCCAGTCCTGGTAATGACCTTACAAATGATGCTCACAGATGAGAAAACCGAGCCCAAGCCGGAAATGGAGTGAGCTCTGTGGCCTGCTGCTGCCTACACCTCTTAGCTCTCTCCACACACTCAGACTCCAAACACAGCCTCATCTGCCTGGCCCGTGAGTGACCACTGGGCTGGGGGCGGGTGGTTTCTCCCAAGCCTGGGGCAGAAGAAGTGGCAAGATCCAGAAAGCCAGGTGAGGAAGTGCCGGTGTTCGGCAGGCCCAGGGAGCCGAAATGTCTCTGAAAGGCCAGTTTTGGAGCCAGGAATGAGGACAAGGAGGGCAAAGCCAGATCATAGTTCCCGAGTGGCCAAAATGAGTTGTATGTTTACAAAAAAACAAGGAAGAATGGGATGAAAAGCCATTTGCAGGCAGGCGTGGTGGCGCACACCTGTAATCCCAGCACTCAGGCAGCTGAGGCAGGAGGATTGTTGTGAGTTTGAGGCCAGTCTGGGCTACAAAGTGAGCTCAAGTTCATCCCGAATTGCACAGTGAGACCCTATCTCAAAAAAAAGACAAAAAAAAAGCCATTCGCTTTTCTGGGTAGCAGCGGGATGAGCCGACCCGTCTAAAGGCCGACAGGGGTTCTGTGAAGAACACCAGTGTAGCCAGGCACGTTGGCACATGCCTGGGAGGCTGAGGCAGGAGGACTGCAAGTTCAAGCCCAACCTAGGCAGCTGAGGAATTCACTGAGAGCCTGTCTAAGAAAGAAAGAAAGAAAGAAAAAAGAAAAAGAAAAATTATGAAAAGACTGGAGCTGTAGCTCAGTGCAAAGACCCTGGGTTCAATCCCCCATCAATGAAGGGGGTGGTTGGGGGGAGCATGAATTGTGCAGCGATGCACTGGACAGAGGCCTAGGGAGACCCCAAGCATTTCTATCAAAGCTGGGCATGGTGCCGCACGCTTGTAATCCCAGCATTCAGGAGACTGAGGCAGGAGGATCACGGAGTTTGGGTCCAGCCTGGGCTACACAGTGAGTTCAACGCCAGCCTGCACTGCAGAGCAAGATCCTATCTCAAAACAAAACAAAACAAAACAAAACAAAACAAGACAATAGATAAATACATAATAAAATAAAAATGATGTCAGCATGGCCTTTGATACCACCGTCTACCCCCATGTTTGATGCAGTAGCAGCATCCTTCCCAGCACCTACTGTCAGGTGAAGTGGCACACAGAAGAAGGTCCCTTTCTGTCAGTGGCTTTCCAGCCCCATTGCGTGGCTCTATTCTTCCACCTCCCTTTTGCCCCAAAGTCCCAGTTGGACGTGCACGGGGCTCACGGGGGCGGGGGGCGGGGCTCCTGGGTTTCAGTTTCCCATGACCCCAGTTCACGTCATACCAATGTGTATGGGGTGGATTTCGATTTCATCAAAATAGTTGTAGACAGTCTCGTCTTCGGTGTTCATGTCCCGGTAGTTGCTCAGCACTCGCAGGAAGCGGTCCTGGGTGTAGTGGGTCCCGGCCACGACGCTCTCTGGGAGGTTTATCACCCGCTCCTTCAGAAACTCATCCGAGGCGTCCAGGCCACAGACAAATTCTGGGAAGAAGAGGGGCCGGGGGGGTGGAGGGGGGTGATGGGTGCTGGTGAACCAATGGGCTGTTGCTCCCCAGCGCGTCTGTGCACCAGCTGGCTCCACGCATTACTATGAATGGCCTGTCAAACCGGACTCCACAGCCGGGGATGGCGGTACACACCTGTGATCTCTGCACTTGAGCTGAGGCAGGAGGGTCGCTGCAAGCGCCAGGCCAGCCTGGGCTGCATAGTGAGTTCAAGGCCGGTTTAGAATATATAGTGAGACTTTGTCTCAATAAGTAATCAATAAGTAAATCCCTACCAGTTCAACGCTACCACTATTCTAACCTGTTTTGCTCACTGTGGGCCATTTGATTCTTGTGATTTTCGTGTGTGCTAGGCAGGGGGCCATTTGGCCTCTCATTTCTGGTATAGCACTTAAAGATGCCAGTACAGTCACTGGAAATCAAGTCTACTTAAGCTCCATGATATCAGACATCAAGATGAAAACTTACTCTGTTAACCTAAGAATTTCAAAACATATATAATACTATATTTGTTTTCCCAGAGTGGCTGACAGATAAAAGATTCTGATAATCAAATATTGCAAATGGCATACTTGGCTTTCCAATTTACAAAGAAAAAAATTTATTTTTTAAGATAGGATCTTACTATGTATTGTAGTCTGGCCTGAAACTCATGGAGATCCTCCTGCCTCGGCCTCTAGAGTGCTGGGATTACAGGCAGGCACCACAATACTGGGGTTCAAAGAAATTTAATGATCAATTCTACTTTTCCCAGTAGATGATTTGTATGCATACAGTACTGAGGATTGAACCCAGGGCCTTATGTATCCTGAGCAAGTTCTGTACCACTGAGTTACACCACCAGCCCTGTTCTGTTTTGTTTTTAAAACCCTTTCTCTTCATGATTCAGAGAGAATTCAGGATTTTGCAGTATCTCAAGATAATTATTCAGAATGCCTGCTGTCTTACTGCCCGGTGCTTGGTAAGACTGTATGTATCAAAGTGGTCACTGTATTTGGCTATCTGGAGTCATGAAAATCTAGGATTTTTTGTTTGCTTGTGTTTTGACAGTTTCTCTTTGCAGGTCAGGCTGGCCTGAAATTTGTGGGGATTCTCCTGCTTCAGCTTCTGAGTGTCGGGCTTACAGGTGTGTGTGGCCATGTGAAAACTTAGGTTTTAGTGGCATTTTCCATACTCATCACTTAAGCACAACTTTCAACTTGTTCCCTTCAACCAGGAGAGCTGAGAAGAAAGCAAACCAGATCTAGGTAAGGGCCACAGCAAAACCCAAAGGTTGATCAGGGAGAGCTAAGACATCCCTAGCCTAATCCAGACATTTCATCGCTCAAGCATGGGTGCTTGTATTCACGTGTTTTAAAACTGTCCATGTCTGAAGATGTTGTGATGTCTTGGGGGCCTTGCACACCTGGGGAGAGAATGCCCACCCTCGGGCTGGCTGACTGCTGAAAGTAGTAGACAGCGTGCTTGGGACACAGCCACTGGGCCACCCGTCTGCCATTCTCCCAGCCCGGCATCGCCCTAGGGCCAGGTCTCCTCTGCCGCACAAGCAGTCACCCTTCCTTTCACCGTGGCCTGCCTTGTTTTCCCATGGAGACTCTAGGAAGGTCCCTGGCCTAGGCTTCCCCTCCCTCCTGCCTCTGCCTCCTGTCCACACTGTGCTCCTCACGAGGTCCCATGTGGTGTGCCGTGCCCCCTCTGTCAGAAAATACAAGAAATGAATGTTGGGCGTAGTGGTGCACGCCTGTACTCCCAGCACATGGGAGGCTGAGGCATGAGGAGTGCCACAAGTTCAAGGCCAGCCTGGGCAATTTAGTGAGACCATGTCTCAAAAAAGAAAAAGTGCCCAGGTTCAATTCCAGTACTGCAAGGACAAAAAGGAAAAGAAGAAGAGCAAGAGGAAGAGGAGGAAAAAGAGGAAGAGGAGGAGGAAGAAGAGGAAAATAATAAAGAAGAAGAAAAGAAAAAGACATACTGAATAGCACTACTTTAAAAAATCTTAAGCTTACCAGGTAAAATTAATTTATCAACAGGAAATGTTTTGCCTCTAAGTTCATCTTCCTCTTCTTCATCTTCCTCTAATAAAACAAAATATACATAGTTGTATTTATTAACGTACCTGTTACAGCAAAACTTTAAATACTGCATCTTAACTAGCAATGACTAAAGAAAACTAGCAGCAAATAAAACATGTAGTTCAGAAATAGTCTTATAACCTCCATATGCACTGACATATGAATAGATAAAGAAAATGTAAAAGCCAGGTGTGGAGGCACAGGCCTGTAATCCCAGTGCTCTGGGAGGCTGAGGCAGGATCAAAAGTGTACAACTTAGTGAATTAGCAAGACCATATCTCAAAATAAAATAATAAGAAAGGGCTGAGGATGTGGCTCAGTGTGAAGACCCTACAGTCAATCCCTAGTAGCACAATAAACATAGAAGTAAACAAATAAAAAAGCAGTGCATCTATACATATGATGGCATACAGTTCAGCCTTAAAAAAGGAAGTTCTGCCATGCTGGACAACATGGGTGAACCTTGAGAACATCCTGTCAATGAAATAAGCCACTCACAGAACAAGTACTGCATGATTGCACAGAGAGGAGGTGCCTTAAATAGCCAAATTCATAGAAGGGAAGAGGAGATGGTGATTTCTCGGGGCTAGGGTACATGGAAAAGGAGAATTATGAATCACTGGGCATAAACTTTTAGTCCAGCAAGATGACTACACTTTAGAGAGCTGAACAATATAATATATTGAGTCAACAATAACGTGTTTTCTACTTAAAAATTTAAGAGGCTAAGCCAGACATGGTGGTGCACACCTGTAATCCCAACATTTGGGAGGCTGAGTCAAGAAGACTGACATGAGTTCAAGACCAGCCTGGGCTACAGAGTGAGCTCAAGACCAGGCTGAACTATACAGTGAGACCCTGTCTTAAACAAACAAACAAAACAAAACAAACAAACAAAGTTTAAGAGGGTAAATCTCACAGTGCATTCGTGTTATAACAAAATAAAATTAAAAATTTAAATCTACGCACACAATAAAGATGAGTAAAGATACAAAAATTATCTCCAACATTTTGTTCATTTAACTGAACAAATATTTTTCTCAATAATAAAATTGTAACTTTACCTACATACAATCAAAGCATGGTGAATATTCAAACTTACGATTGAACAGGTCTTTTGCTTGATCATAGGTCTTTGGGAATCCATCCAAGATGTAACCTTGATTCCTACAAGGCATGGATTTTAGCTTTTCTTTCACAAATCGAATTATATATTGATCTTCTAGCTCTCCTGGTGAAAAGAAAATATCACTATGGAGCACCATGTACATAGGGTTTATGTACTAAATTGATTGCAAAAACTGTAGTACAGCCAAAAGTATTACTGAAACCCTCTATTTTGCCATTAAAGTAAAAAATACATAGTATTTTTGCATTTTGAATAGGATGTGTAGACTCCAGTGCATGTTAGAGGAGAATCCAAGGAGCTGGTCTAGAAGGAAGAACAGAAGCACATGCTGCTGTCTGAATGACAAGATGTTCTGTGAAGACAGTTTCTGGGTGAAGCTAATGAGGAGCGTTATTCTACTTGATTCTGTTGTGAGAATTAAAATACTGAGGCAGGAGATTAGGACGCGGCAAGCCATCTGGCTGGTGGAAGTGAGCTGTCAATCACAGAGATCCAGGACACAAGCTGGCAGGCCCTGCACCCAGAACCAATCAGAGAATGCGATCTTTGATTCTTCTGGTGTGAAATCAAGCAGGTTTTTGATAGGACAGCCCAGATCTGATGTTAATAGAAATGGAAGATACAAAAGGGAGCCACCATTAACTTTGTGGCTACTGTGACCTCTTTCCTGTCCAATTCTTTGTTCAGGACAAGAACCTGGAATCTCTACGAGAAGCCCACAGGACCCCAGATCTGGGTAACCACAGCATCCATGTTGCTAATACATGATTTAATAAAAGTAGGTGCCCGGGATAGAGGTGCAGCTCAATGGCAGAGCATGTGCTTAGGTTGAAAAGGGACCAGGCTGGATCAGGGCCGGGAAGTGGCTCAGTGCAAAGGGCCTGGGTTCATTCGCCTATACTGCAAAACAAACAAACAAACAAACATTTAGGCGTCCAGTAAACACTTCCTGGATCTGAGTAACAATTCAACTTGAAAGGGGACCAAGAGATGGAGGGGAAGGAGGGAGGAGAGGGGGAGGGAAGTAAAAAGAATTTGGATGTGCTGTGTCCATGCACCAACTCCCCATGAGGAATGTAGTCATGATGTACTGCAAACATGACTCGTAAGAGTAAATATGTCAATAAATAACGTTAAACCTGACTTGTGCTCCGGCCCCAGCCCACACCACCTTTCCCGTTTGGCATTTCTGACCTTGACCATTAGATAGTTCCCTCGAAAATCCAGGACACGGGTTCCTGGAAACTGCTCAGTGGAAGAGGCTGAGGAGGAAGGATTCTGTTTGCAGTGGGTGCTGGCTAAGTGACAGCACCTTGCAGAGCCACCACATCTACCTTTCTGTCGTTATTTGAGCAGCTGTCACAGTCAGCACACAGCCTGTCCTTGCACTGCTAATCAGGGTCTGAGACGTAAAAGAAAGAGATTGTGGTCTCTTTGTCACCTTATTGCAATAAAGCGATCTCATGAAAACACCTCTTATTTCTTCCTCTTTTCGGTGTCACACATCATTAGGCAGAGTAAAGGGTTCAGGTAATAATTAGATCTTTCAGAAATTTAAACATTTTAGCTGAAACAGAAAAATCATCCCAGGTGGTATTTAGCATACAGCCATTCCTCCAAATGGCTTCACATCATCCATAATCCCCCAGGAAGTGGTACAAGGAAATAAAACCAAACAAAAGAATATCAAAAGACCCACGAATACTCAAAAGGCTGCTTTCATTTACGCCATCTATTTTTACTTTATTTTTATTTTTTGTTGACGCGAAGTTGCATAATCATAAATCAAACGGAGGCCCCTTTCACATATCTCTTCATTTATTTCTGGCACCAAGATGTCTGCTTGATTCGAAGATAACTGTCCCCATGGGTCCTCTCTCCTGGGTTGTTGCTGAATAAACACACCTTGTAGGCGCGAAAGGGTGGGCACACAAAAGCCATGCCCAAGGTACCTTCTCTAGAAAACTGCAGCCTCCCTAGAGGTAACCCAGGACCTTTGGCCGGGGTTGAGGTGTGTGGTAGGCAATTGCTTCTGTTTAATTTTTAAAAATAAATTCTACTTGTACATTTGATGGTACGGGCTGCACGTCGCTAAGAAGGCGGTTACTATAGTGAAGTAGATGAACACATCTGTTATTGCAGTTACTTTTTTTGTGACAAGAGCAGCTAAGATCTACTTAACACATAGCCCTACTATAATACAATTTTTGTTGTTATGAGAAGACAGGATACATTTATTAACACGCACTGGGGAAAATCACAGCTTGGGAGCCAGACCCGAAGTACGACCTTCCCAAACTGCTGGGTAGCTGAGGCTTAAATAACTTTCCAGGCTGCACTGAAGGATGCAGTCCTGAACACGGGGGTGCTGCGGGAGCCAGGAGCTGGAGAGGGTGAACGCCGGGCGGGCGGGGTGGGGGAAGGCTGCATCCTAGCTTTGGGACCCCCCCGTACAGCGCCTGGCGGGGAGCACTGGGCAGCCTGCACCCTCTTCACACAGACACCTGTTGCCCCCGAAAGTTTGTTTCTGGTCATTTAAATCCTGTGACTTGTCAGTCTGCTCCTATGCTAAACAAGGCGCACACACTGTAAGTGATGATAATGCAGTTGTAGTCACTCCAGGACAGCCGTAGACTTTCCCTCCCTGTCCGCTATTTTCTACCTGTAAGGTCCCTCTCCCCATCCGCACCCTGCTCCTGTCCTCCAAGCTGTTGCAATCACTGTTTTACTCTCTACTCTTGTGCACTTGACCTCTTGAAAGCATACTCCACATGGGAGTGTATCATGTCATCTTTTCCTTCCCATGTCTGTCTTCTCTCACTGAGCATAATATCCTCCTGGCCCGTCCATGCTGGGCAAATGATGGGACTGCGTCCTTTTTAACACGTGAATAGGGTGCCATTGTTTCTGTTTTTTTTCTTTCTTGTTCTTTCTTTCTTTCTTTCTTTCTTACTTTTTTGACACAGGGTCTCAATCTGTAGTTCAGGTTGAACTTGAACTTACAGTGTAACCCAGGCTGGCCTCAAACTCGCTGCCTCAGCCTCCTGAGTGCTGAGATTACAGGCATGCACCACCATGGCTGGCAAAATATTCTGGTGTGTGTGTGTGAGTGTGTTGCACATACATCCCACATTTTCTTTATCCATTCCCCCATAGATAAACATTTAGGTTACTTCCATGTCTTGGTCATTGTGAATGTTGGTGGATGAACATGGGAGCATAAATATCTATACAAGGTGATAATTCACCTCCTTTTGTTGTATATCCAGAACAGAAATTGGTGGGCTTAATGGCAGTTCTATTTTAAATTTATTATTTTCCTTCCTTCGTTCCTCCTCCCTCCACCTTGATTTGTGTGTGTGTGTGTGGGTGGGTGGGTGGGTGTGACAGAGAGAGAGAGAGACAGGGTTTCAGCATGTTGCCAGGCTGGCCTTGAACTTGGATCCTCCCACCTCAGCCTCCTCAGTAGCTAGATTACTGTCATATGCAACTCACCCTGGCTATTTTTAATTCTTTTAGGAACCTCCAAACTGTCTTCCATAAAGGCTGGACCCACTCTCTACTAAAAAAAAAACCATGAATAAGCATGGCCCTGCTGGAGAGCCTTTAAAATATGTTTTTAAAAAAAATTTAGCTGGGTGTGGTGGTGCACATCTGTAATCCTAGCACTCGGGAGGCTGAGACAGGAGGATTGTCCCAAGATCGAGACCAGCCTGGGTTACATAGTGAGTTCAAGACCAGCCTGAACTACAGAGTGAGTCCCTGTCTCAAAAAAGCAAAACAAAACAAAATTAAAAGTTTAAGCCTATCTTTCAAATGCCAGTAATATTTAAAGTGTTAGTATTAACCCATATTGATAAATCCTAAAGTAGGGCTTAAAAATAGGCAGCTATAACAAAGATTTTACAATAATCAGTGCACAGTATAGATATTATGAAACTGATACGTTCACAAACCTTTTTTCCCTTTTTAGTTTTAAATTCACAGGTAAATTGAAAGACTAGTTCAAGCTGAGTATCGTGGCTCACGCCTATAATCTCACCACTCAGTAGGCTGAGGCAGGGGGATTGCAAGTTGGAGCCCAGCTTGAGCAATTTAGTGAGACCCTGTCTCAAGAAAAAGGTGGGGGCAGGGTGACTGGAGGTGGAGCTCAGTGCAAAGACCCTGGGTTCAATCCCTAGTACCATGAGAAAGAGAGAGAGACGGATAGACAGATAGACTCATCCAGTGATCACCAGAAATCCCATCAGCTAGACTGGGTAATTCTTCCATGCTTTGGGAAGATATAAGGTGAGCACAGAGAATCTCGAACCTATGCATCCCATTGTTTTTCTTTTCTTTTTCTTTTTTTTTTAATTTTAAAGAGAATTTTAAAAAACAACAAAAATGATACACAATTTTAAAATAAGATGACAGGAAATTAAGAATGCTATTATAGCGCATATTGTTATCTTCAAAGTAGTTGCTCAGATTACCAGATACAGGCATGCAAAGCTGATCAAACAATATAAGCACTAGCTGTTCCTTTCAATGAACTAATAGAAAGTAGTAGTACAATTATCTTAGCTGTCTTGTGCGTACATATGTATATATATATTTTCCTCTTCCTTCTTTTCTCCTTGAGCAGTTTCTTTTCCTTTTACATTATCTATTTTACCTTTTGGATCTTATTTACTCTTTCAGGTCTTACACTAGGGAGACAATATGATGTTTACAGTGTGAGTCTGATTTATTTATGGGTATGGTCTTATGAGTATGGTCTCTAGTTGCAACCATTTACCTATAAAAGCCTCAGGTTCATCTTTCTTTATAGCTGAGTAGTACTCCATTGCATAAGAACACCACATCTTTTCTATCCATTCCTCAGCGGAGGGGCATTTAGGTTGTTTCCAAGCACCGCACGGTTCAACAAAGCCCTTATGCTGAAGGCTGCACTGTCAGGAAGGGCGCGGCTCCCTGGGGATGTGACTGTGTGCTCGTCATCACAGCTACGTCAGGACAGGGGCGGTCCCGTGAGCTCACTGTCTCTGCCCGCCCCTGTACTTGGCCCTGCAGTGGGTGCCGAAGTCTGGTTTTGTTCCAACATAATCAAAGTCTGGGTTCCATGTCTTACCTGACATGAACTGGAAGAATTTTTGGACAAACTTAAGAAAAGTATTTGCCTACAGGGAGCTGGGCGTGGTGGCACACACCTGTAATCCCAGCACCGTGAGTTTGAGACTATGTAGTGAGTTCAGGGCCAGCCTGAGCTCCGCAGCGAGGCCCTGTCTCATAAAAAACAAAACAAACAAATAAATAAAGCTCAAGAGGACTGGATGAACCACCCACAGGAAGTGGCAGGTGCTGTCGGGAAGGCCTTGGCTGGTTACTTAAATACCTGCCCTCCCCTCCCCCAAGGCTCCTCTTCCTCCTCCCCACGGCCTGCCGATGCTCCTGGCCTCTCTGGTGCCTGGGGCACAAGGGAGCCTCCTGCCACAGGGCACAGGAGCGCAGTGACTGGGTGCGGTGACAGCTCTTGCTGGGCCCGACGCCTGAGTGGCCTCTGCCAGGGAGTAAGGAGCGCTCCCTGAGGCTCACACTGAGGCTTCGAATCCAACTCGACCGACTTGGGTCCTGAGAAGCCCGTTGCTCCCGTCTCTGTCACTGAGTCACGCGCACCCTCCTCATCGGTCTGGGTGTCAGCTCCCTTCCCCAAAAATCAAGGGCCAGGACCCTGTCAGATTCTCTAAAATCTGAACATTTTTGCTTCTTTTCTTGAGACACGGTCTTGCTATGCAGTTCAGCCTGGCTTTGAACTCTCCACGTAGCCCAGGCTGGTCTCGAAGTCTCAGCAGTCCTCCCGCCTCAGCCTCCCTCCCGAGTGCTGAGATCACAGGTGTGCGCCACCACTCCCAGCCCTCTTTTTTCAAATGTTAAAGGCTCCTTCCTATGCTACCCCCAGGCAGTCACCAAAAAGCGTTAACAAAGGTGCTGGGTGCTCGCCTGTGATCTCAGCACCGGGGAGGCCCACGGAGCGCGACCTCGGCTCCCTCCCACCTGCCCTCTGCGCCCGCGGCACCTGCGTTCTGGTCCATGTTCTCCTTGATGCCGTCCAGCAGCTCCTGAGCGTCCTCCACGTTCTCCTCCTCCTCCTCCTCCTCACCTTCCTCTTCCTCCCCTCTGTCCTTGGGGGCAACAATCCCCTCCTGCCGACACAGGGTAGAGTGGAGAGGGCCCACGGCCCTTCACTGCTTACCAACCACCTGGCACAGGGAAAAGCCTGGAAAAACTCTCTCCCCCAAACCCAGAAGAGACGCAGGGACAGTCATCACGCAGAAGTGTGTGGGCCGAGAGTGGCAGTGAACTCCTCTAATCCCAGCACCCTGGGAGGCTGAGACAGGGGGATCCAAGTTCAGCCCAGGCAACTTAGCAAGACCCTGTCTGCAAGTCAGAAGGGACTGGGGATATAGCTCTGTCTAAAAGCTCTGCGTTCAGTACCCAGTATGGTTTGCACAGTGTGTGTTTCTGCAGAGATGAATGGAAACCTCAAGGTTTTTTAAAAACATATTTAGAATAATATGTTTCTGAGCTAATGTCCAAACTGCTGAAGAATCAACACTGTTCTAAGGTTCTAGCTTGGATTTTCTCAAAGGGAGCATGTTTTATAGAAATCAACATTTTTAGGCTGAGAGTGTAGCTTAATGGTGTAAGAACATGAATTCAATACTGAGTACCCCCCAAAATCCAGTACTCATTTACGGACATATACCCCAGGATCTACCTCTCGCAGCGAAACGATGAAATATAGTTAATGTGCTGATAATCCCCTGAGACATACGCAGCAAGAATACAACCATTGTGCTGCAGTTCTAGCACTCAGGAGGCTGAGACAGGAAGATCTCCATGACTTTGAGGGAAGCCTGGGTTACACAGTGAGTTCAAAGCAAGCTGAACTAACTACAAAGTGAGACTCTATCCCAAAACAAACAAACAAACAGAAATAAAAACATTTAAAAGCATTCCCATCAACAAAGGGAAGACAAGATACACTTTGAGGACGAGCTGAAGGTGGACTACATTTCAAGTGTAAGACATGAAAAATAGTTCTGTCTCACAGGAGAAAGGCCTGTGGGATTCTGTTTTCATAACGGGGCCAACAGCAAAATTCAGTGAAAATAACAAACCTCTGAGACACATGAAGTTAGTTGCTTGCTTATTACAAGACTAGGAAAACAATTTTTAGGCGTAAATATTCCCAACAAAGTGTTACCAGCTTTGCTATGGCTTCGGCAATCAAGTCCTTCATTTTGATGTGGTGCAGTTTGTAGTACTTGGACAGCTCTTCCGCTATGCTGGACTTTCCCACCGCAGGCGGACCCAGGATGCAGATCTTGATGGGCTGCGAGGGGGGCGAAGGGACTTGTGAGCACGGAGCCACGGATGCGTAGCTAGAGGGATTTATTTTGGGGATGCACCTTTTGCAGTCTCAAGACATCACCTCTCTCTGTGTCTCTGTCTCTCACTGTTTTCTTAGAGACAGAGTCTTGCTATATAGCCCAGTCTGGTGGCAGTCCTCCTGCCTCAGCCTCCTGAGTGCTGATTTAATTGTCCTTAACACAGGTAACTTGTTTTTTAAAAGCGCATTAAGAAACACCATTTCTTCTGCTTAAAATGTGCTTGCTTTAATGTTAAATAAAATTTGTGGCATTCATAACCAGTAATGTACTTGAGAAGCTGCGGCAAGAGGATAGTGAGTTTGAAGCCAGCCTGGGGAGACACCCTGTGTGAAAATCAAATAGAAAAGGCTGGGGATACAGCACAATGTGTCCACGCACTTAAAGATTTCATAATTTCACCCCTCAAGTTGGTTAGCATTGTTACTGACAGACAGGGAAACTGAGGCCGTGGAGGAAGGAAGCGGGCACCCTGGCTCGGGCCTTGCTAGAGCTGGCGGCGGGGCCTGGGCCGACGGGTGTGAGCCGGGCCCAGGGGGAAAGGCGGGGCCTGATGGCTTTGGTGCCGCTCCCCAGGCCTGGGGCCCAGCTGTCCAGGGATCCTGGGCGCGGGTTCCCCAGGGGAGGGTCCCCTGTTTGGGGAGGGCCCAGCTTCTCGGTGATGAGCCAGAACCCAGCCGCCCAGTCACCAGAGGGGACAGGAGCGGCCACACCGAGCCTGTGGACCCAGGGGCCCCGTGCCCGGCCTAGTGCTCCAGGGGGAGCTAAGGGAAGCGTGCCCCTCGTTCCAGGTGGGGTCACCTGTCCTCAGCTGCCGGGCTGGTGACCAGGGTCCCTGGACTGCGAGACGCTGGCCAGGCTGAGCCCTCCTCGTCCGTCTATCACGTCCTGCTAAGCAGGAACCACACGTCCCTGAAGCACCTGCCCCGTCCCTGCGCTAACCGCCTGCGGCTTCCCGGGCCGGAGAGGACAGCACGGCCGCACCTGCAGCTGCAGCTGCGCGGCCCAGGGGTCGTCTCTCTGGAGCCCGGCGTGCTTTCCAAGACACTGTGTTTCTGCGACGACAGGGACACGCTGGGACCGTGGGACCAGGCACCGTGGTGACTGCGATTACCACGATGCGGCTGCAGTTTCTAAACACTTCTTCCTGGGCGGCCCGCTTTCGTCTTTGGACGCTTCCAGGGACCACCCCGAAGATCCCGGGAGGAGCTGTGTGTGTCTGGTGTCAGAGGGGGCCTGGACACACTGTGGTTAGATGAGCCTCTTCCTGCTGCGCCTGCTTCCTTGTTTGTATCTTGGACAAGCTGTATGCCTTTGAAGTTGCTTATCTCCCAGAGGGCCAGCTCCCTCACCCATAACGTGGACAGAACATCTCCCTTAAGAACTTGATCACGTGCAGAAGAATTCTACCATACCCACCTTTCACCACAAAAGAAGAAAAGTCTGCGAGGCAAGTCACATGTTAATTCGCTTCATTTAACCATTTCACAATGTGTGCACATTTCAGAGCAGCTTGGTGAACAGATGGGCTGGAGGTATGTATGTGTAATCTCAGCACTCTGGGAGGCTGAGGCAGGAGGGTGGCAAGATCATGGCCATCCTGGGCAACTTAGTGAGACCCAGTCCCAAAACAAAAAAATAAAAAAGGGCTGGCTCACTGCCGAGCAAGGCCCTGGATTCAATCCCCGGTGCTTCAAAAATCAATAAGTAAATCTCTCAGAAGCCATCCTGGTGTACATGATAAATATGCACAATTTTTATCTGTTAATTAACTTTTAAAAAAGAATACCTAGCTAGGTGTGGCAGTGCACACCTACAATCCCAGCGTTCAGGAGACTGATGCAGGAGGATCCCTGCAAGTTCGAGACCAGCCTGGGTTACAAAGTGAGCTCAAGGACAGCCTGAACTACATAGCAAGACCCTGTCTCAAAAAAAAAAAGAAAAAAAAAAAAGGAATACCTATGTTGAAAAGTTGTGTTGATTAAAATGGCCAGTAGAAAGATCAAAGTACTAATCAGACTTCTTTGACCTCCTTCCTATCCTTTACCCAAAGTATCTCCACAGGTAGGGAGGCACCTGGGTAGTTTTACTTATATTAGTAACTGTGACAGGCCATCTTGCATTTACGATCCTGTCCAATTTGCACAGCAGTGCAATGCTAACTTTTTTTTTAGACAGAGTCTTGCTATGTAGTTCAGGCTGGCTTTGTACTCACTATATAGCCTACGCGGGTCTCTAGTGCGAGGTCATCCTCTTGCCTCAGCCTCCCAAGTGTTGGGGTGCTTGCAGCGGGGGTACAGGGAGGTGATAGTTACCAGCAACCCTCTGCTCTGCTTGTACTCTTTGAGGATGTTGTTAATGTTTTCCACAAATCCAGTCTGCGCCACCCAGCGAATGTTGAAATTCTCCTTCACGAAGAGGGCTTCCATCCTCAGGTTGACCAGTAGGTGGTCAATGCTGCCTTGCTGAGGAGGGAAGGAAATGGCAGGTTTGCCGCTGTTGCCTTTTGACAGTGAAACAGACCAGATCACTACAGGTAGCAAGGAAAAGCAACGCACATTCACTAAGGATGGAAATCAATCCGGGGCAAGGTATTCACAATGCACCTATTGTGGTAGTCGCTCTCTCTCTCTCTCTCTCTCTCTCTCTCTCTCTCTCTCTCTCTCTTTTTCTTTTTCTTTTTTCAGTGCAGGGCATGCTAGGCAAATATCTACCACTGAGCTATACCCTCGGCCCTTTTTACAGGATACATTACCATCTACTTCTTGAATAATGCAGAACCCATGGTTCAACCTCCCCCACAAAAATCATTAAGTACCTTACTGTGGTGGAACACACACCTGGAATCCCACCATTCTGGGAGGCTGAGGCAGGAGGACTGCAAGTTTGGGCCTAGCTTGTGTAACTTTGTGATTTTAGTGAGACCTTGCCTCAATGTAAAATAAATAAATAAATAAATAAGCGAGGTGTCGTGGTACATATGTATAATTCCAGCTCTCAGGAGGCTGAGGCAGGAGGACTGCCCTGAGTTCAAGGCCAACCTGGATTACATAGTGAGTTCAAGGCCAGCCTGAATTGTATAGTGAGACCTATCTCAAAAACAAAACAGAAAAAAGAAAAAGAAAAAAAAAGGGCCAGGGTTGTAGCTCATTGTGAAGGTCCTGGGTTCAATTACCAGTCACACAGACACACACACACACACACACACACACACACACACACACAGTATAGTGGAAAACATTCCCTCTGACTCCCAAATGCCACCCAGCCAGTTTTGCTCCTCAGAAGTAATCCATGGCCTCAGTCTTGACAAAACGTTCAAGCACAGCATTTAGACACAATTTCTTCAGCAAGAATCACACCCTAAAACCAGCTTAAAGCGCTCACTGCAGAGCTACAGCCATGAGCTCTACAGTCCACGACAGAATGGGGCTCTCCATCAGGAAGAGCCAGAGCAATACCCACTGATTGTGGAGCGGCTCGCGCATCGAACAGCCTTCAGTCTATTTTCTGAAGGTTTTTCACAACAGAAAACCAGGGCTAGAAAAAAAGATTGATTGCCCCGGGGCATGGAGTTGGAAGCCAGCCGTCCTGATCCGAATCTTCCAGAATCAGTAATATTTAGGAAGAGTTTTTAAAGAAAATTCTAAGATACTAACGGTGAGCTCCTTGAGTAGGAAAGCGTTTTCTCTGGGTACTTTCTGGACTTTGCCGGGCCCAGTACTTTTACTGATGAACTGTTAAGGAAAAAGAGAGGCGTTATTTGGTTTCCCTGTAAGATTTTTATACCCAACTTCTGGAAGCAAAGTGAGTACTACTGAGTACAAAGATCATAGCACCTGGAAAGTAGCGGGTAGCGTGCTGAGGGTATTCATTCATTTGTTCCATACACGCACTGGGAAAGAGATGGACAAGGCCTCGTCTCTGCCTTGGAGGTGCTCTTACTTTGAAAGAGGAGACAACTGGACACAGATAACGATCACATGGAACCTGTGCGACTTGGCAGGGTGCATTCTGGGCCTTGGTCTATTTATTTATGTATTTATTTATTTATTTTTGTGACGGAGTCTCACTCTGTAGATCAGGCTGCCCTTGAACTCACTATCTAGCCCAGGCTGGCTTGGAACTCACTGCGATCCTCCCGCCTCAGCCTCTGGAGGGCTGATATTCCAGGCGTGCGCCACCTCGCCTGGTGCTGTCTTTGTCCTCTTTGGGGAGCTCTCATTCTGTTTTTAGAATGGAAGCTACCTTAACTGATGCTTTGAAAATAAAAGCCAGTTAGATCTACGAAACATTTGTAATTTTGTCCGTTGACAGTCTCACTGCTTGCTCCTCTGATTCTTCCGTTGAAATCCTGACCACCAAAGCCCCCAAGTCATAGGCGGGGTGTCGGGGAGGAGATTAGGTTATGGGGGCGGAGTCAGACCCGAAAGTGCGCCCACCCTGGCCTTCGCAGCCCCCAGCACTACGTGTGGGGTTTTGCTGCAGCACCTGCAAGGCATTCTGGGAGTGTAGGGGGCAGCCGACTGTGAGGCCACGAGGTGCAGGGAAAGCTCCGAGGTGGAATAAAGATGGCGGAGCAGCCCGGGCAGGGCGGAGCAGGCCTCACCGCTGGGCTATGTTCAAGGCCAGGGAGAAGCGGCTCTCTCCTGGACTCCGGGAAGCAGCCAAGAGGTCTGGAGAGCCGCATCGAGTCTCTGCCTTGTCGCACGTGTCTAGAGACTTATTTTAATGTTACACAGTGTGACCAGAATGTACAGTGAGTGCGTAAAAGCTTAGATTTTTCTTACAGTAAAAGACACAACGCCATGAATACCGCTCACATTATCCCGTCACTTCCAACTCACCCATCCCGCTATTCTTGCCATTTCCTGAAGCGGCCCTGGGAGTCCTCTTTCGTGAGGGTCTTTAGGAGGTGTGGTCACAAACGTGGTGAGTGCTGCTGCGGAGTGCCATCCAGTGGAAAAGCGGGCTTGTGCAAACACGACCCTGTGTCCTCATGTTGCCTTTTCATGGAGTGTGTCTCCATGTGACTTCTGGCTCTTCCCCAATGTCAAAAGGACCATGAAAGGTCAATGTTTTGAATCAGTTGAGGACACTGAGGCAGCCAGGACAGTGCAACTAGAGACACTCACGGAAAAGCCCTTCCAGAGTTGCTTCAGAAAGGCCAAGAAGGATGGGATAAATGCATGTGAAGCAAGGGGGAGGATTTTGAGGGGTTTCAACAGCAATGTGTCTTTGACTGTAATATTTTTTAAAAACCCGTGGGGTGCTGTGAAGAAAAAAAAAACCCTTAAACGTTCACTGTGTTTTTCCATCCCACTCTGTCCAGCCTGCCCTTTGTGCGTCTGAGGGGCCACCCAAGCCCTAGAGTGGCCTATCTTGTCTCTCTTCGTGTGGTCCCTGGAGAAAGGGCAGCGGGTACGAGCTTCCCAAAGTAAACAGCTGCAAATACTGACTGTGAGTTTGCAGGACATCCTACTTTAGGGAGCCCCGGTTCGATTAGCACAGCGAATTCCATAGCTAGAGTTTTGTGGTAAAGCTATTTAGGTTGTGCCATCTGAGTTCGGGATGCTACCTTGACCAGGTCTTCCAGGGTGTGAGCAGAGTCGTCCACGGCGACCAGGTAGTAGTGCCTTGGCACGTGGTCTATTATGTTTTGTATCACTCTGTGGAAGCAGCAAAAGAGAGGTGATGATTAGAACTCCCCACCCTCCAGGCCCACAGAGCAGGCATAGTGTTTGGTATCTGTCTGTCATCCATCCATTTGTGATAGTCTCTCACAATATAGCCCAGGCTGACCTCAAACTCGCAGCAATCCTCCTGCCTCAGCCTCCCCAGCTGGTGTTTGGTGTTTTAGTGTTATCTCACTTAATTGTCAATAAGATCAGGGAAGGGGTTACTAATCTGCATTCTAAGATAAGAAGGTGTTGAGTTAAGTGACTGTTTATCAGGCTGAAGAGCACCTGGAAAAACCGAGGAGCCGGCCCCTGAGGTGTGCACCACCTGCAGCAACACGACCCAGCCCGGCTTACAACACCTCTGCCCAGCTGCGGCCCAGCCGGCGCCTCACAGGTGCGCTGGGGCAGGTGTTTCGCCAAGCGAGTCACAGACTCAGAGAAGCTGCGGCTCTTCACTGTGTCACGTGCAACACAGGCCCGCCACGAAGACCTCTTCTGAGCCAGTGATCATCGGCCTTTCTGGGCGCCGAGCTCTGTGCCAGGACAGCGGCAGGCCCACAGGGTCATTCTCTCAATGACAGGCTGAGGGAAGTGAGCTGGTGGCCTCTGTTTATAAATGAGAAATCAGACTCAGAGGCCCGAGAGGAAGCAAGTTTCCCACGTTCACGCAGCTCTGCCGAGAGGCAGGCCAGGGTGTCACAGACTGACGCGGTCCAGGCAGAAAGGGGGGATGGGCCTTCCACAGCGGCCTGGCTCCCCCTGGGTTCCCTTTGCTGTAAACTAAAGCGGAAGTGTACTCATTGGGGTTCACTTCGGGGCTGGGGTGCGGCCTAAGTGGGCGGGTGCTTCCCTGGCGCATAGAGCTCTGAGGTCCGTTCCCAGCACTGAGGAAGAAAAAAGTCATAATCAATGTTCACGTCACGATTTTAATTCACTGGTTTTTGGTGGTGCTGGGGATTAAACCAGGGCCTCATGTGTGCTAGGCCTAGCCATCCCATTTATTTTATATTATTTTCTTGGGATGCATTAACTTTTAGCTTCTTTCTTAAATATTTCACAGTATTCAAAGAAACTTGTAGGAAGAAAAAAATGTTACTGGAAAGGGTCCCGAATTTTTCCATAATGGGAAATGGTTCGCTAACTTCTCTGTTTGGGACTAAAGCTAAACATTTTATTTTAAGAATGTGAGACTCCTTTGTATCTTTAAAACCTGATAACCTAAGGTAAAATCTCTGCAAAAAAGAAAGGCACATTTAGTTTATTGATTTATTTTCTTTTTTTGAGACAGTCTCACTGCGTTGTTCAGGCTGGCCTGAAACTTACTATGTAGCCCAGGCTGGTTTGGAATGAACAGCAATCCTCCTGCCTCAGCCTCTTGAGTGTGGGGATTACGGGTATGGGCCACCAGGTCTCGCTAGCAGGGCACATTTTGGCCCCTTCTTCCCCACCATTAATGTGGGCTGAAGGAGACTGGGTTTGGATGTGGTCCAAAATTTATTTAATTTAAAAGATCCGTCCTTAAAAACAGTGGTCACTGCTTGGTTCAGGGCCTTCAGGGTATGGCGCAGGGCTGCAGTCTGAGCTTTGCTTGTTTCCAGGTGAACTGGTAAATGTGTCCAGCTGTGACTCACTCCCAGCAGGCACTGCGTAAGGCAGGATGTGTGTCTGGAAGCCAGCACCTTGGGAAGTCCGCCTCAGCTTCCTCCCGAGGCTGTGCCTGCAGTTGGGGAGCGAGGGACTGGCAACCCGAGCTTCGGACCCAAGCAAACTCAGGGACCCGGCTTGACGGCTTGACGGCCTGGGACAGGGGCTGGGCTGCTCTGTGCACGCGAGCCCAGAGAAGCCACCGGATGCTGCAGCCCTGCGGACTGCTCGGCCCGCAGCTCAGCACGTGATGTGGGGAGGCAGAACGCTGGCCCTCAGGAGCCGAAATTATCTCGGGCTCTCGGGCCCTTTAAAGAAACAGAAGTTTACTTTTCACCTCGGTATCTGACCCTGGACTCCCGTGACCATTTACGATTTAGGATTTACAATTTACGCAAACCTCCTGGAATGCAGCCAGGCCTAGACAACCTCAGCCTCCTCTACGCCTGAAGCTATAAGAAAATGCTACAAGATGACATCAGGCGCCCCTAAAGAGACCTTGATTTGTTGTTTTGCTGGGAGGCCTACCCAGTACCTCGCCCCTGCAATCACTGACTGTATTGACTGATGCCTCTCTCTGCTCTGTGGCTGAATAGCGCACCCGGCCTCCGAGGAGGCAGAGGCAGACCGCATCCTTCTGGTCAACCACTATCTCCCCGCTTCCTTCAAGGCAGTGTTGTTACTTCACATCGCTCCCGCTTTATCTAGACCACAGGGATGGGGAGGATCTCCCGTCTGCTATCTGATTTCTGGAATCTGAACTGGTGGGCTGACATCACAGTCTCATCTGGGGCAAAGGAGAAAGAAACTATGTCCCTGAATGTTGCTCATACCGAGCTCTGCTGTCCTAGAATTGTTGCTCTGCCAACCAAGTGTCTAAGAGATAGACTTCATCTGGCCATTAGCTTTGGGGGCTGGCAGTGTAGCTCCGTGGTAGAGCACTTGCCTAGCATGTGGGAGGCCTTGGGTTCCACCTCCAGCCCCAGCAAAATAAAAATAAAATAAAAAAGCAAGAAACCGGAGCTTGCCGGCGTGGTGGCACACGCCTATAATCCTAGCACTCGGGAGGCTGAGGCAGCAGGATTGTTGCAAGTTCAGGACCAGCCTGGGCTACAAAGTGAGCTCAAGGCCAGCCTGAACTGCATAGCCAGACCCTGTTTCAAAAAGACAAAAAAGAAAGAAACTGTGGAGCTTTTAGGTTAACACTATTTCATCATGTGCAAAATGGAGATAATAATAGTACCCGCAATACCTTCTGCATAGGGTTGTTGGGAAGAATAAATACAATATGTGTAAGGGCCTTAGCTCTGAGTAGATGCTCAAAAAACGTTAGTTTACAGAAAGATGCGTGAGGGCAGGGTGTCACATGCCTGTAATCCCAGTGCGTGGCGGCTGAGGCAGGAGGGTTGCCATGAGTTTGAGGTGAGCCTGGGTCACATAGTGAGTTCAAGCCCACCCTGAACTACGTAGTGAGACCTGATCTCAAAAAATTTTGTTTTAAAAATACAGACAGACTGATGACCCACCCAGGAGGGTCATATTTCTGGGAGAATGCTTACCCTGCCAGGTCAAGAACATGAATTGTTGGAATTACATTTGTTCCGTCTCCAAAAACAGGTAACGCAGGGACCTCGCCCAGCCAAGCAAGCTGGAAGAAAGAAAAGCCAAAGCGTTCATCTTCGTGGGGTGTGAGCGAGGCGCGGCTCACGCAGCTGTCAAGCGATCAACAGGGAGACCCTCTGCAGAGACATCTCCCGATGCTTCGTGAACCGGCCCTGAGGAGCTCGGGGTCCACCGCAGGGCGACCGCGAAACAAGGCGCACACCTTCACAGAAAGGAGCTAGAAAAAGTTGAGCTGAATGTAGCGTAGCGATTCAGAGAGGTCAGGAGTGAAGTCGGACAGAAACAAAGACAGGTTAGGAAGGAGACCAGGAAATTGCAATTTAAAAATTTGTACATTTCAGAAAAATTACAGGCTCGAGACATAATCAAAATTACCCAAGGCAACAGTGCCTTTTCCACCCCGGGGCCTGTTTATTTTCCTTACAGACGCCTCACTCCAGAATCCTGTCTTAAGGGTACAATAACCCCGCAGCCGGGGCCCTGCTTTTCTGCGGATAAGGGATTGGGCGTGCGTCTCCCAGTTGCAAACGTGGGGACAGCCCCGTGGCAACCCTGCGGATAAAGACAGATGTCACTCAACTCACTAGTTAGCGGCGGGGCCCATGGAAGCAGGCACTGGTTACACTATGAATGACTCAAACACAGCCGGGTGTGGTGGTGCATGCCTGTACCCCAGCACTTGGGAGGCTGAGGCAGGAGGATCACTGCAAGTTCGAGACCAGCCTGGGCTACAAAGTGAGCTCAAGGCCAGCCTGAACTGCATAGCGAGACCCTGTCGCAAAAAGACAAAAAACCCAAACAAATTACTCAAACGCATAAACAAGCACCCCACACCACGCTTCTTGAAGGGACCCCGAGTCCACACAAACCCCTCAACCCCAGACCCAGCGCCCCTCACCCTCAAACACCCCGCTCCTTTCTGCATTGTTTCTGCCCATAAACCTGCCTGTGCTTCTCACCGACGGGTCCTGCAGTTCTTTCTGAGACAGGTGGAGAACCCACTCCGGAGCACCCACCCCTTCTCCTCTTTAGGGGCCTCCTTGCTCAGTGACAGGAGGGGAGAGGGCGGAAAAAGGGAGGGTGGATTCGACCAGTGCACACTGTATATAAATGTGGAAGCCTCACACTTAATCCATTTAGTCAAATCAGGGTGTGGTGGCCCATGCCTGAAATGCAGCACTCAGGAGGCTGAGGCAGGAGAATCGCCATGAATCTGAGGCTACCCTCCTGCCTCAGCCTCCCAAGTGCTGGGATTATTTATTTATTTCTTATGCTAGGACACATGCCAAGCAAGAGCATTCCCCTCAAGCTACACCCCTAGCCCTGTAAAATATTTACCAAAAAATCCATACAATGGAAAGCTGTACCTTAAAAAATGTGTGTAAGATGCCACCTTCCATGCCGTACTGAAGTCCTGCAGCTACGACATAAGTTGCGAATATTTTGGCCTAGTGGATAAAATACAGACAAAGCTGAGTATCACATTTTCAACATTAACTAGATTATTTCAGTCCTTATGAGGGGCACCTGGGCCGTTTTATCAACGCTTTTGGACACATTAGGTGTTGTTCAGGGCAGAGAACAACTCGGCAATGCCCCAGGCCACTGTGGAAATTTAATTGGGATTCTTCATGAAATTAGAGCCAGACTCATTTGTTGAAAACTGAATACCTGTAAACTCTATCCTGGCACAGAGGGAAAGGGATTATAAAAACAGGTCCTGCTGGGCCTGGTGGCATATGCCAGCCCTCGGGGGGCTGGGGTAGGAGGATCGCTGTGAGATCGAGGCCAGCCTGGGCTACATAATGTATTCAAGGCCAGCTTGAACTGCACAGTAAGACCCTGTCTCAAAAACCAAACCAAACCAAAACAAAATAAAAACAAAAGCACCAAAAAAACCTCCCAAAAACCAAAACACAACCCGGGTCCCCCTCCAGGGTCTGTCATTTCCTAGCAGGCGTGGACAGACCCACATAAAGTGAGTTCAGAAACAGGCCTGAATAGAAGGGCTTCGGTTGACGTGGAAAGTTTACTTCATTCTCAGGATGGGTTAGCGACTGGGAGACTTTGTCTCAATATTTATCTGTCTTTTACCATCAGCATACCGCTCAGGCTCCCGGGGTGGGGGTGGACGTGAAATTTGTGGAATGTGAAAAGCTTAAAGTGTAGATAATCCTCAGGGCTACCTGCGAGCTCACTCTTCTTCCTTCCGTACCTTCCCCACGCACACACCACTAACCAGGCAGCCTTTACATTGCTTGATTTAAAAATCAAGCCAGGCGTGGTGCTGTGCACCTGTGATGCCAGCTGCTCAGGAGGCTGAGACAGGAGGATTCACTAATAAGAGAACAGCCTGGGCAACAGAGCAAGTCACCACCTCAGGAACAAAACAAGAAACAAAACAAAATTAAACAAAACAGAGAAACCCAGAGAGTTTTGTGTAACGGTGGGCACAATGTGTTTTTTCAGGATTGCTGGTGTAAGGTCCGATGATAGGTTAGATTGGGAATTTAATCCTACCTAAGGAGGATTTCAGAGTCGGGGGTAGTGTGATTCGACTCCTCCAGGGAATCCATCACCCAGCTGAAACAGCGCAGCTGGTGTAATAGGATTTCTGTGGCTCTGTTTCGCTTATTTTGCTCACTTTGCGGTGGTGGGATCGAATCTGGGCTCTTGACCTTGGTAGACAAAGGCTCTTCCACTGAGCTGTCCTCCCAGCCTCCTGCCGAGGGATTATTAATAAATCCTCCCTGGCACCACCTCTGTCCTTAGATTTTTGGAGGGAGGGTGAGATGTTTGTAAACTGAAGAAGGGAGGGAGGAGCTGGGGATGGGGGTCAGGCACAGACAGGAAGTGCCATGGCATGGGAGAATCCGGTCACTGAGTGAAGTTTTGGAGAAACTGTGTCTCAGTGCAATCGTTTGGATCTGAACGTCCCCCAAGTCCATGTGTTACAGGCTCGGCCCTCAGCTTGGCGCTGGTGGGAGGCGACAGAGATTTAAAGGTAGGGGCCTGGCGCGGGGTCTTCGGGTCATTGGAGGTGTTGTTCCCCTGGAGAGGAACTTGTGCCCCTGTCTCTTCTCTCTCTCACACTCAGCCATGGTCGGCTGTGCGCTCCGCTGTGCGCTCCTACCGCAGTGTACAGTGCCCATCGGCCATGGACTCAAACCTCTGAAACACTGAGCTAACATCTTTCTTCTTGATACATTTTTGAGCTCAGGTATCTTGTTACAGTCACAGAAAGCTGCCTAACACACACTGTAATTGGTCCACACTGCCCTACATCCTGGCCAGTAGCTAAGTGAGCAAAGTGACCCAGGCTTTCCCTAGCTGTCCCAGGTAAAGGGACAAGAGAAGGTTCCCAAAGGGTTCTAACAGCCTATGGCTCAGCTCCTGCAGAGCCTCACATGTCCAACCAGATGGGCATGCCGTGGCCTTGCAGGAAGGAAGCAGACAGCTGCTGGGTTTTAGGTGGGGTTGGGTGGGAGGGTGCATCTGAGAAATAGGACGGAGGGAAAGGAGGTTACACAAGAAAAGGAGGAAAATATAGGCCAAAGAGCTTCCATGAGGGTGTGGGGAGGCTCTCATCTCTAATAAAATAGTTAGGGAGGAAACTGGTTCCAACCAGACATTTTTAAGCGTGAACGGTTTGTCTTGGGATGTTCTGAATGTCTTCCCTTCTGGAACACTCTGGGCTGAGAGTACGATTTGGACAAGCTCCAGGGAGCTGAGCCGCCTGAAAGCGGCCAGGGCACAGGCTCTTCCCCTTGTACTGCAGCGGGGACGCACACGCTCCTGCCTGTATCGAGAACCAGGACACTGTCCACCCAGGGTCCTCAGCCTGCGGGGACAGTGAGCTTGGAGAGAAGTGGAACGGAAGACTTGAGAGTGGCCGTGCAGAGGCCTGGGCCTCCAGCCAGGGACTTCTGCACAGCTCCTTCCGGTGACTGGCAGGGCACTCGGGGCAACACAGGAAGGAGGAGGAGGCTGAGGGCGAGCTGTCGTGCTTGGATTTTGGTGAAACCACATCCCACGTAGAATCTTTTATTTTTCTTTGATCCACGTTTGAATCTTTCTGGGCCATGCACACCCTGTTCTGGGGAAGACATTTGTTTTTCTTTCTTTTTTCTTTCTGGTATTGAGAATCGAACTCAGGACCTCGCGCTTGCCAGGCAGGCACTGTGCTGCTGAGCTAAATCCCTGGCCCTATTTTTCTTTAATGTGCTAATGTCATCAAAGAATGCAAAGCTGGGGATGCCTACGTTGAATATTTTAGTCTAATCAAGGTTGTATTTTTGGGGCTGGGGATGTAGCTCAGTGGCACAGTGCCTGCCTGGCAAAGGAAAGGTCCTGAGTTCGATTCCCAGTACAAAGAAAAGGTTATATTTTTATATGCCTTTCAATAGCTATTCTGTACTTGCTTGCAAGGGGGTAAATGTCTGCAGTATACACAAAGCGACTGATTCTAGAGAGCATCTAGATCAGGTATGCACAAAGCTGCAATTCCCACCTGCCATAATGCACAAAGGCAGATGTCTTTTATGAGTTTAGGTCCTGTGGAAGTGAGACAGTGTAAAGACTGGAAGGGCATCAGGAATTACTCTACTGGGTCCGGGCCTGGTAGCATGTGCCTGTAATCCCAGCACTCAGTAGGCTGAGACAGGATCATTTCAGTTCAAGGCCAGCCTGGGCTGCACAGTGAGTTCAAGGCCAGCCTTAAGTACACAGCAAGACCCTGTCCCACCAAAATCACGATTTGTTGAATATGTCTAATTCACTGCTTGAAAATATATGACCACACACACAAAAGATTCAAGTGAATGATAATCTAAAGTGGAGAAATGTTGTCATTCTTTTATTTACTGAGACAGGATCTTGCTATGTACGGTAGTTCAGGCTGGCCTTGAACTCACCATGTAGCTCAGGCTGGCTTTGAACTCACAGAAATCCTCCTGCCTCGGCCTACAGAGTGCTGTGATTACAGGCATGCGCCACCACACCGGCTTCAACATATCAACATATCAAGAATTTTTAAAAAATAATATAATTATTGAATTCCAAACAGGAAGAAATTTAGGTCATCTAATTCAGTCCCTTTATTTTATTTGCTTTAATCCCAAGAGTTGTGGGCTGGGGTGTAGCTCAGCGGTAGAATACTACTGGGAGATCTAGTCCCTCAGGGTAGGTCCCAGACATGACCCCAAGACATTGACTTGGCTGAAGAGATAAATTAATGGATGGAAAAGGATCCAGAATTCCTAATTCTCTCTTGTTTTCTTCAGATATTTTACCTTCACAGTGCTGCGTTGTATGGCACCTGTATTTTACAAGCCGTCATAATTTGAGGACAAAATTCCTGTTGTAATATCCTTATTGACCACTAGGTGTCACCTTAGAGCTATTAGTGCAGCTCACTCACGATTGGTCTTCACTAATGGAAAAATATAACCGGGCCTTTGGAGGCTTAGGGCTTCTACCTAAGCTCTACACGGGCAACGATCCTCTATATGTGGTATTAGTAGTACATACTTCACACAATTTTTTCTGAGACAAGGTCTTCCTGTGTAGTTTCAGGCTGGCCTTGAACTCATTATGTAGCCCAACCTGGTTCTGAACTTGCAGCAATCTTCCTGCCTCAGCCTCCTGAATGCTGGGATTATAGGTGTTCACCACCATGCCCAGCACTTCACGGAATTTTAAAAATTATCCACGAGATTCGGGAGAGTTACATGATACACAATAAATAAAACATCGCTAGGCACACAGGTAGGCAAGCCCTCAGTATTTTTTCAGCTGTTACTAATTCATGACCAGGGCAATTCCCACCATCTATTTTGATAAAGGACCAGAGAAGTATGAGCATTCCATAATGGATGCACGTCAAAGTGATCAAATTTGCTGGAACAGAAGGTCCAGGAGCTCTGACTGTCCACATTAGTTTCTCAACTCTGGATGTTTTATTTTTTCACGGGGAGGTTCCAGTACTGGGAATCGAACTCATAACCTTGCGCTTGCCAGGCAGGCGCTGTGCCGCTGAGCTAAACCCCCAGCCCCAACTCTGGGTGTTTTAATGATCAGTCACTCCGGATGTGTCAAGATAAACTCGCCTCGGTGTTTCGCAGTCAGGGAAAACAGTAAGAATGGAACCCGCGGGCAGCTTCGGTGTCCGGTGGGGACCGGCGTGAGTCGCAGCTGCACCTCTGGGCCTCTTCCCCACAGTGCCACATTGTCTGGGGACAGCGAGCTGCGTGGACAACACTGTCACTGTCCAGAGCGGCTCTCAGGGCGCCCAGCACGAGGCACAGGAAGCCCCAGCTCGCGACCCTGTGCAGCTGTCGCTGAGGCCTCCGGGCCCTGTGCTTGTTATTTGCTTCTCCGGAAATGTGCAGAGTCCTGGGCTTGGCCAGGGCCTTGCAGGGCGGGCAGGACCAGAACCTGCCCCAGGATGCCTAAGGGCAGTGCGTCGAGGGAGGAGACTGCAGCTCAGTGACCTGTGGACAGAAGCTTCTAAGACACTAAACAAAGAGGTCCTTAAAATTTTATTTTATGTTATCAGTCATTATTATTGTTGCTGTTTTGGCTTATTGAGACAGAGTTTCAGTATATAGTTCAGGCCATGTGTCCCAGGTTGGCCTCAAACTTGCGGCAGTCTTCCTGCCATAGCTACCTGAGAGCTGGGATTCCAGGCATGCGCCACCACATCCGGCCAGAGATGCCGGGAGCAGTGTGGGCCATGCACACCCCTCCAAAACCAGAGAACTATTCATCACCCTGACTAGCAAAACTGGACGACGGGCAACCGGCAACAGGCCAGTGTGTGCGGCCTTAAAAGGGCCTCCCTACCCGCAGCACCCCGGGACTCCACACTTACGTTTTTCCCGTATTTGAGGACTATTTTTTCAGCATTTATGTGGTCCAGAAAATTTGGGTGATTCTTTCTTCTTCGGTAGTCCTCTTCCGTGAACGGGACTTCAGAGTCCTCCTGCAAGACAGAGAAGGTGCAGCCCTGGGGCGTGGACTCCAAGGGGCTTCTCCGCCCGCAGTGGAGGGCCCGCGGCGCCATGGAAGCTCCAGAGCCCTGCTTGGCAGGAGGGCAGCTTTGGCTGAGGACAGGGAGCTGCGTATTTCAAATCGGCCAGCTGGCAGGGTATCAAATATTCCCCCCACACAGAAATGCTAAGTGCTGAAGCTGGTGGAGATTTTAGTTACTCTGACCTGCTCATTATACAAGGTATTTATGAATTTAAACACTCTGTAAGTATGTGCAATTTTTTGTTGTTTTGTTTTTTGAGACAGTGTCTTGCTACATAGCTCAGGTCTTGAATTCACTACGTAAGTAGACCTTGTCTCAAAAAAACCCCCAAAAAACAAACAAAAAAACCCAAAAGCAAAAGCAAAATTAAATTACATTTTAAAAGTAGAGGATTCTTTATGGGACCTTTTGATCACACCACATGAAACTAAGTTAAATACCAATGTAGCCAGGCATGGTGGTGCACGCCTGTAATCCCAGCACTCAGGAGGCTGAGGCAGGAGGATTGTTGTGAGTTCGAGCTTTGTAGCCTGGGCTACAAAGTGAGCTCAAGGCCAGCCTGAACTGTGTAGTGAGACCCTGTCTCAAAAAGACAAAACAAAACAAAACAATCTAAAGCATTTGAGCCCAGTTTGCAAAGAATTAATACAAGAGACAGAAAAGACACAGGAAGGGGAGCCCAGCTGGGAACCTAACTGCACAGGTCTGTGAGTGGCATAAAGGAAGCCCCAGGGAGGACAGAAAGGGTGACGGCCAGGTTGCTCCGGTTCATGCCCCACGTTGGGAGCTCAGATTTATTCTGAGAGCGACAGAAGGCTGGGCAAAGGTTTAACTTCTCAAGCTCGACTGCAGCATGATCTGTATTGTGCTCTCCGGGGTCGCCAGGCTGTGCCGTGGAGAACGCACTGATTGGAAGGTTCTAAGTATTCCAGGAAGCTAATGGCTGAGGCATGAGCCACGAAGCTCCATGGTTACAAAGAGAACAAGGTGGGTTTATGGTCCATTTTTGGTGATGGATTAGCGGCTGACGGATAGAAGAGTGGTTGGGCAGCTGAAATGACAGGGATGCCCGGGGGAGAAAGGCAGACAGAATCTGTTCTCAAAGGCAGACCAAGCTAGTCCACCTCAGTTCTGTGGACAATGAGCTTGATGAATATATATTGCATGTTTAGCTGTTCTCTTTTTAATTTTATGTATTTATTTTTGGGGAGCTGGAGACGGAACGCAGGGCCTGGTGTGTGCTAGCCAGGTCCCCCGCATCTGAGCTATGGCCGCTGCCCCGTGGTAGCTGGTTTCCTGAATACGCCTGCCCAGAGGCTCACAGGTCACGTTGCCATAGGCCAGGTGTGAGGCACACGCTTGTAAGCCCAGCACGGGGAGGCTGAGGCGGCGGTGCGAGTTGGAGGCCAGCCTGGGTGACACAGCAAGTTTAAGACTGGCCTGGAGTACAGAGCAAGATCCTGTCTCAAAAAACCGAACCAAACTGAATCAAATCAAACCAGAACAGGCAGTATTGTTACATAAAAGACGGGACCCCCAGTTAAATCTGAATTTCTGGGGCTGGGGATTTAGCTCAGCAACACAGCACCTGCCTGGCAAGTGCAAGGTCATGAGTTCGATTCCCGGTACCAAAAAAAAAAAATCTGAATTTCAAATAAAAGAATAATTTTTTAGGGTACATCATTCATACACTAAAAAGTATCTGCTGCTCACCTGACACTGAGTGTCCTTGCTCCTCTGCTGTGGAACTCAAGCTTGCTTGGCAAGGGCCCTGCCCCACCTATCTGCTCAGCGCTCTTCCAATTTCATCTTGAGATAGGGTCTCCCTAAGCTGTCCAGGCTGCCTCAAACCTGCCGTCCTCCTGCCTCAGCCTCCTTAGTGCGGGGATAACAGGCCTGTGCCCCTGCGCTGGGCCTTCTCAGGTGTATTTTTATGTGGCAGCCCCACTGTCACGGAGTCAGCTTTGGCTTTGGGAAGAAATGCGCGTGGTGGCCCTGGCTTGCACGCTATGGTGGCAGCTGGCCCGTGACTCTCCTGCTTCTGTGACTGCTCTGCCTCACAGCCCCCTCGGGCCCGTGGCTGCAGTGGGAATGGTCGCCTTTTACAAGGTGGCTTCACGCTTAGCGGGCCACGGCTTTTCCCCAGGGAACAGGCAGAGCCCTAGATCTCTGGCTGGGCTGGGGACTCGGAGTTGTCCTTCCTGGTTCCTGGCTGGGGCAGAGTGGGCACCGGCGGTCCTCTGCCTCCCGAGTCACTGTGGCTTCGGGCGAGTGTGTCGCACGCTGCGCGGTCTCCTTCTAATGGCCACAGTGTTTGGGCACCTCGGGGTCACGCGCTGGGCTCTCTCCCTCCCCGGGCACGATCTGTGACAGCGACTGCCCCTCAGCCTGTCTTGCTCTGACTGGTTTGTGTGGAGCAGGGTCCCCTCCGGTTTCCCATCTTTACTCGTCTATAGAGGAGCCGGGGCATCGTGCGTAGCCGGCCAGCCTGTGAACGGGCAGCCGCTAAGGCATCGGACCTCCGCGGGGCCCAGGCGGGTCAGCTTTATGGAGAAACCGGCACCTCTGCGGGCGGGGAGCAGGCTCAGCTCAAGCTGACCTCGCTTGGGGACGTTGAAGCGCCCCTGGGAGCGACGCCTGCCCCTGGGGAGGGAAGTGGCCGCTGCTGCTGTCGTCCTGCTCCCGTTTGCTTTGCTCCTCCTAAATATGCAGCGAGAGTCCTGCCCGGCCGGACACTGTGTGATCAGTGCGCGGCCTGAAATGACACGGGGTGCATGCGCACGCGGCGAGTTCCTCGGGCAGCAACCTAAAGCTCCTAAGTGCCCTGCGCGGCCCAGTCCGCATGTGCGCTGCGTTCCGCCTGGGCGCACAGCAGCAGTACCTGGAGGGCTACGACGTCAGTAAGAGCCGGAACTTTTGAGCTCCTTTGAAACCTTCCAGAAGAAGGAGAAGTGGGACTGGCCAATACGTACGTAGAGAAATGGTCAGAATCTCTGGCCATAGCCAGGTCTGGTAGTGCACACCTGTCATGCCAGCACTCAGGAGGCTGAGGCAGGAGGACTGCCATGAGTTCAAGGCCAGCCTGAATGCAAAGTGAGACTGTAATTATCCTGTCTCAAAAAACCAAACCCGAACAAACAAATCTCTCTGGCCAGGACAGAAATGCAAATTAAAACAATTCTGAGATTCCATCTTACCCTAGAGAGAATGGGTATCATCAAGAAATCAAATAATAACAAATGTTGATGACAGCGTGGGGAAAAAGGAATCCTTCTATACTGTTGGTGTAAACTAGTACAACCACTAGGAAAATTAGTGTGGAGAGGCCTCAGAACACTACAACTACAGCTGGGCATGGTGGCACGTGCCTGTAGTCTAAGCACTTGGGAGGCTGAAGCAGGAGGATTGCTGAGAGTTTGAGGCCAGGCTGGGCTACAAAGTGAGCTCAAGGCCAGTCTGGACTTAGTGAGATCCCGTCTCAAAAAACAAAAACCAAAGGAACAAAAAAAAATCCCCCCAAAATTAAAACTAGAATTCCACTCAACTCAGTTGTGCCCCTTCTTAGTACCTTCCAGAGAGAGTTAAAGACATCCTGTGACAGCGACCCGTGCACACCCATGCTTATAGCAACACAGCTTGCAACAGCCAACTCCTGGAAGCAGCCTATGTCAGGACCGCGGGGAGGTGACCACAGGGAGCGGATGCGCTGCTTACCGGGTCCAGAGGCTTGGATCGCGCCCACGTCATCACGGTGGACAGTAAGATAAACACCTTGCGCTTCCCAAAGTGGCTGACTTCTTCCTTCAGCGCTGTAAGGCCAAGAGCAGAGCAGTTATTTGGATCCCTGTGAACCTCTTTTTTTTTTTGAGACAGGGTGTTGCTATGTTGCCCAGGCTGGCCTCCAACTCACAGCAACCCTCCTGCATCAGCCTCCCGAGTGTAGTGATTACAGGTGTGAGCCACCACACCCTGCAGGAGTGCCCACTTTTGTGCCATTCATAGAGGCTGGCTGGCAGGCCAGATGCAGACAGAAAGAAGGGTGAGTGTTTGCCTCCCTTGGGGTTACCCCATTTAATGGTGAAGCCTTGTAGAACACACCTGGCAAGTGATTCTACTAAAGTATTCTGCATGCTGCATGATAGTCTGCAAAAGGGTCTAAGCTAAAGTGTGTGGTCTCTTAAACAAAGGGGCGCATCTGTCACGGTGTGCTTGTGGTCCCGTAAGGCGATGCCTTCAACAAGGAGAAAAACGGGGAAGCGCAGAGCTCCGGAATCCAACCCGCATGGGCTTCCTGCCTGGCAGGACGGTATCTTCGGGATCCCTCTGAGAATGCCACATGCCCACTGGCCCCCTGCTCCCAACATTCATTCCAGTTGCTATTTTCACTCTCATCAAATTGTCTTTTCCATTTAATTTTGCTCTTTTAACCTTTCTGCTCCGCTGTGCTTCGCACCGGCCTATTTTGTGAGTAGCTGACACACTTCCAGCTCCTCCCGCTGGGTTATCCTTTCTGATCTACAATGTTTACAGTGGGTCTAAAACGACCTGCATGTTTCCTTCTGAGCACACACTTCATCCACATGTGCAAACACCTCCTTCTGATTTCTAGTAATCCATTCCTTTCTCCCGTGCCATCTTGCCCTCTCTTCAGTATCTCTGAAAGGCAAGGTTGGAATATTTTTTTTTTGAGGGTCTTGCTGTGTCATTCAGACTGGCCTTGAACTCACCATGTAGCCTAGGCTGGCCTCACATGCTTGGCCATCCTCCTTCCTCCACCTCCCAAGGTAGGAGAATTTGAAAGCATTTTAAAATAATTTAATAAAACATTATTAAAAATACTATGAGCTGGCCATGGTGGTGCACACCTGCAGTCCCAGCACTCTGGGAGGCTGAGGTGGGAGGATCAAAAGTTTGAGCCCAGCCTAAGCAACTTAGCATCTTAGTGAGACCCAGTCTCAAAATAAAAATCAATAGAAAGAGCTGGAGATGAAGCTCTATGCAAAGATCCTAGGTTCAAGCCCCAGTACTGCCCCCTACCAAATCCCATTGTAAGAAAAACAAAATCTAAGAATGTGTGTGTGTATCAAGTGATAGATGGAAGGTCTCTGACAATACTTTGTTGCACACAAATACCACATAGCTCAAAAACATGTAATTCAAGCCAAGTGTGGCGTCATACACCTGTAATTCCAGCACTCTGGGAGGCTGAGGCAGGAGAATTGCAAGTTCAATCCCAGCCTAGGCAATTTATCGGTTTAGTGAGAACTTGTCTCTCTCCAGGGTCTCTCTCTGCAGTTCAGACTAGCCTTGAACTCACTATGTAGCCCAGGCTGGCCTTGAACTCACCACAATCCTCCTGCCCCAGCCTCCCAGAGTGCTGGTGTGACAGGGGTAACACTCTTAAAATGAATAGATAAGCTTCTCAGAATGCATCGCTAAGCTTATCAGACCTCTAGTCTCTATCAGTTTGAAAGCTGAGACAGCAGGATGATGCTATAGCAGAGTTCCGTGCCTTGCCGTAGCTCACCAGGCTGATCTCACCCTGTGATTCGTCAATGTACTGGTTTGCTGTTTCCTTCTGTTGTGTGACTGTAGAAGCTCATGTGATCTCTCCCATAGTGAAACGTGTAATGTACGGTGACTGGAATCTATTTTCCTGGGCCGTATTCACTCATATGTGACTCATACTGGACTATATTTAAAATTCTCTTATAGCAGAATCATTACTTCATTTCAACAGGAATCAATCTGTCCAAGTGCCTGCGGCATCCCGCACATCCACGGACAGTGCTTTTGTGTTTTCATTCACCTGAATCTGATGCGATCATTGAGGTTCTGTTCCATTTCTTCGAATTGAAGCCAAAAATAGAGTTTTGCTGTACATTTAATTCAAGGGTCAGCAAAGAACTGCCTGTTCTTGTGAATAAAGATTTACAAGAACCCAGCTCACCTATTTATGTTATTTATGGCTATGCTCCCCCTATAACAGCAGATTCCATGGTTCACGAAGCCAAAGATATTTACTGACGTTGGCCCTTTACATGAAAAGTTTGCCAACCCCTTATCTAATCCATCTCAAACAAAACAAGACAGAAAATTGAAGTCACTGAAATTCGAGATGCTGTTCGTCTTTTTTTTTTGACTGTCCTAGACTAGAATAATTATTCAAATGAGTTGACCCACTTTCTCCTTTGCTCCAGATGTAAAGAAGAAATAAATCACAAAAGGAGCCAGTTTCTCAGCACTACCTTATTCTCTTAGACCCGAGGTTCTCAGATTCACTACATTCTTCAAAGCGTTTTCAAAATGCAAGCATTCTCTACCCTCCCTCGCTGACCTTTGCTGTCAGGAAACATTTACTAAAATGAATCAAATTCTTACTGTTAGAGAGAATCCCTCAGGTCTGGAAGTCACGCCACTGCACGCAAATACTGCACTCTACAACTGCAAGGTGTCAGTACGGGGTTGGGGTGTAGCTCCACGGTAGAGCTTTTGCCTAGCATGCGTGAGGCCCTGGGTTGATCCACAACATTGTAAAAGAAGCAGAAAGTCAATTAAAGAAACAGGGTCCCTTGAGATCAAAGAGTGCACCCCACTGACCAGAGACGGCCCAGATGGCTTCCTCCACCTGCTGCGGGCTCTCGGTGATGTTATAAATAATGGTGTCGCACTCCAGCAGGCGCATGAGAAGGTCTCCTCGAGACAGGTTCTGGAAAGAAAAATGACAGCCATTGGCAGCGCTAAACGAACAAGGTAACCTCAGTATTTAGATGGAACGATGACTTCTCAGTTAGACATGCTACATGCAAGAGTCCCAGAGGAAATACTTGCAGAAAGATTTCTACACAAAATGACATTTTGTCTCTCTTCTGTGTGTAGTTTTCAAAGAACAAGGAAGTTTGTGGGACAGATGATTGTAGGACGTTGAAAGGACCACAGGTAATATCTCTGCCTGCTGTTTAAACACCAGGCCCGGCAGGAAGAGGTAGAACACACGGGGAAAATGAGTGGGACATTAAAATTAACTCAAACTCCGTGCAAGATTAGCAGAGCAACTGCACACCATGAATCACTGAAAAGTGCTGATGAGTGCTTCATTTGGGTCATTTTGAGATCCTCAGGATGAAATGAATCTGACCTCTCTGGGGGTGTAAGGTACCTTATAACACTTGGCAGTTGGGAATATTTTCAAAATATGGGAACTTCTAATGGTAAAGTATTCTTACATCACACAAAACTCACCCTGTGATCACTGCGTTTTAGCTAGTCATTCCTCGCTGTGTGGATGCCAGTGCATTTCCCACAAAGCCAGTCCCACGGTGTGTTCCCAGATAACCAGAAGGGGACCTGGCACTTCCTTTTTTTTTTTTTTTTTTTTGGCCTTTTGAGCCAAGGTCTCGATATGCAGCTCAGGCTGGCCTTGAGCTCACTTTGTAGCCCAGGCTGGTCTCGAACTCACAATGATCCTCCTGCCTCAGCCTCCTGAGTGCTGGGATTACAGGCGTGCACCACCACACCTGGCCAAAATATTTTGTTTTTTTTGTTTTTGTTTTTGTTCCAGTACCAGGAATCGAACTCATGACCTTGAGCTTGCCAGGCAGGCGCTGTGCCCCTGAGCTAAATCCCCAGCCCCTAGAATATTTCTTTGTGTTTTTTTTGTTTTTCGTTTTTCTTCTGGTACCAGGAATTGAACTCACAACCTTCTGCTTGCCAGGCAGGTGCTTTGCCACTGAGCTAAAGCCCCAGCCCCTGGGACCTGGCACTTCCAAACCAGGCTGTGTGCTTGCTGTCACTCCCGTCGTCCGAAGCATCAGACATTCCCAGAGTTCCCTGACCACTTGCATTAAAGCAGCGCCTTTCAGATCAAACTTGGTATCTTACCAAGCAACTTGCCCTGAGAGCAAAGGAAAGGAAATCCTTGTTCAGTTCAGCGGCGCGCACTAGTTTCTCTTGCTCTCTTTGTTAGGTCTTCTTGTGTTGTCCGCATTAATTTGCTAGGGTGGTCGTAACAAGCGCAAGAACCTGAGTAGCGTAAGCCACATACATTTGTCATCTCAGTTTTGGAGGCTAAAGGTCCAAGTCTAAGGTGTCCAAAAATTTGGTTCCTTCTGAGGGGTAAGAGGGAAAATCTGTTTCACCCAACTGTGGTCTCTGGTAGCTGAGTCCTTGGTTTGTAGAACCGTCATCTGATCTCTGACCCAATGTTTAAGTGGCATCCTCCCTGTGTGCAGTGTCCAAATTTCCCCCTTAAAAGGACAACGGTCACATGGACCTACAGGTGCATCTTACTGACCTCTTTTTACCTTGATTTCCTTAAAAAGACCCTATCTCCAAACAAGGTCACATTCTGAGGTATTACATCCTAGAACATCAACATATTCTATTTTCAGAGGACAAAATTTATTTTTAGTTAAAATAAAATTTTTTTTGAGACAGGATTTCACTATGTAAGTTCAAGCTGGCCTTGAATTCTCTATGTAGCCCAAGCTGGCCATGAACTTGTGGCCATCCTCATGCCTCAGCCTCCCCAGCTCTGGGATTATAGGCGTGTACCACCACAACCAGCCTCTGAGGACACAATTTAACCCAAGATACCAGACATTCAAGTCCTTTTCTGGGTTGAATGTACAAGACAGAAGATTCTCCAGTGACGTTGATATAACCTTCAACGTTTCCTTTATCAATAACACGATACTGTGAGAGAACATTACCCTCCTATTACACCTGGGACCGATCTGGCTTTGGGAATGTCACATGAAAGAAGAAAGAACATTGAAAAATAGAAGGAATCAAAATGTATGTTTTAGACTTGGTTCAAGAAAACGAAGGAAAACATCTATGACTCCAGCCAGTAAGGGCAGGTTAGAGCAGGGTCCAAAGAGGATCACACACATTTATTTACTTATGGTCAGATCTATTTAAGATGAAACAGACACATTTTCAAGAGCATCACCGTCCTGCCCACCACTCATTTAATAATAAATTTTTGTGGATCTGCTTTTTTCTTTTCTTTCTTTTTTTGGTATTGAGAATCGAACTCAGGACCTTGCTCTTGCCAGGAAGGTGCTGTGCCACTGAGCTGTATCTCCGACTGTGGGTCTGCTTTTCACCCAGTGGACAGGGACAAAAATAAATAATACATGGTTTTCAATAGTAAGAGGTATCGTGTGTGTGTGTGTGTGTGTGTGTGTGTGTGTGTGTGTATTTGGGGAAAAACTGTTAGCAAAATATTATAGTGTAAAATAGACAAAGACACAACTAAACATACACGAGGCCTTTGAATAAACTAGAAAACAACAACTTGCTTCCGTTCTGGGGCACAGCGCAGCCGGCAGAACAGGTTGCTGTTATACAAGCCCCACTCGTTCCCTTAGCCAAGCACTAGGGTAGTGCACGGCCTGTACAGCCTTTCACAGCAGCCCCAAATGTGGGAAGGGCTAACGGAGCGGTACAGCTGACGTTCGTGAACTAGAAGGAAGACGTGACCATGTCCCATAAAAGCTGACATTTGAGTGGCACTGGAAGGGTGAATATGAGCTCACCTGGCAGAGCTGGGGATGCCCAAGGAATTGCAGGTGGTTTGCTGGGCCAAACAGAAGCACCTTTGACAAACCTAACACTTTCCATCCTCAGCTCACCTTCTCCTTTCCTGCCACGCTTCACCTCTTCCCCATGGCTCCCTATTGCCCAGCTGGAAGCTGACCTGATGCCTTCTACTGCAGAGCGCTCCGTATACTTTCCCAGCTGTCTCCCCCCACCCACTTTCCTCCTGTATCTCCAGTAGATCACAGCCTCCCCCGGGAGGACCTCTGGCAGAACTTTGTGCTGCTGGAGGCTCCAGGACAGAAGGATCCCAGGAGCTCAGGGGTCCTCAGTCTGTTTGGCAGGGAGCAGGGTGAAGCTTCATTTGCCTGGTTCTATAGATGAGACTGAGAATCATCATCTGCCTCTTTCAGAGTGCTCGGGGTGCTGCTGCATGCACCCCTCTGTTGTCACATTCATGGCTCTGCTATAGAGTCCCTGCTAGGCCAGGAGCTCTGTTCATCTCTGGACGCTTGGGGTGCTCAATGCACTTTCACTGAGTCAAGCTGGGCGAACAGTGAGTGACTCGACGGTGATCCAAGCTAACGCAAAGGGCAATGAAAATGGAAAGGAAGGATAAACTGAGGCACCCATGACCCTGGGATGTGGGTGGCAAGGTAAGTAGGAGCCCACAGTGACCCATGGTTTTCAGCTTCAGTGGAGGGTGAGTGCAGGATGAAATTTATACTTGTAATATTTTTCAAGTTTTATTGTTACTATTATTATTATTATTATTATTAGTTTTATTTTTAAAAGACAAGGCCTTACCTTATAGTTCAAGCTATTCTTGAACCCACTACGGAGCCCAGGCTGGCCTTGGACTTGAGGCAGACCTCCTGCCTCAGCCTCAAGTGCTGGGATTATAGACATGTGCCACCATGCCTGGCTTATGTTTTATTTTTAATTGGCCCATGACTGTATGAATTTATGGGGTAAGGAGTTACATCTTGAATGATGAACAGGAGTGGTTAGGTGAGGAAGGAAGGAAGGCTGTTCTCAGGCACAGTATAAGAAACTGTATGGAAGGCCCAGAGAGAAGCAGGCCAGGTAGCGGAGTAGATGCCCCACACTTCCCAGGGGGTTTTAAACGCTTCAACTATTGCTAGGCATGGTGGCGCATGCCTGTAATCCCAGCACTCGGAGGCTGAGGCAGGAGGATTGCTGCAAGTTTGAGGCCATCCTGTGCTGCATAGTGAGTGCAACACCAGCCTGAAATACATGGCGAGATCCTGTCTCAATAAAAGTTAAAAAAAGCTTCAGCTGTGTAGAATTGGTCATGTGGAGGTTGCTTTCTCAGTAAGACAGCAACATGATGGAATGCTGTTCATGAGTGGCTTTTTTTTCTTTTTTTCTTGGTACTGGGGGTTGAAACCAGGGGTGCTCTACCACTGAGCTACATCCCCAGCCCTTTCCATTGTTTTTTTTAAAAATTTTAAAATGGTCTTGCCAACTTGCCCAGGCTGGAACTTGTGATCCTCCAGCCTCACCCTGCGAGTGTAGCTGCAGGTGTTTGTCACCAGGTGTGGCTCCTGAGCGGCTTACTCTCAAAGGGTATTTGTCCTTCATGGATGGGACCACTGTGGCTCTGAGTAGTCTTGGGTGATGCAGACAGAAGATTTTTTAAGCAGAGCACAGCCTGTCTCAGCCTCCCAAGTGCTAGGATTACAGGCATATGCCACCATGTCTGGCTTCTAAAGTTTAATGTGATTAATCTTTGTCACAGGACAGCAGCATGTCCCCAGTGCTGCCGGTGCCGCATGTCTGCGGAAGAGAATGACAGGCTCAGAGTGACAGCGTCCCATGAGGGGACCGGAGTGGATGGGAGCTCTTCTCTTTGTCCGCTCCTAGCCAAGCCACCTGGTCTCACCTTGTACGTTTCCGTGGCAAAGTCTGGCGGGATGTTTTCGGGCTTGGAAAGCGTGCCCACGATCTGGAATGTGCCTTCCTTGTGCTTGGCTGATGCGGTTTCTGGGGCAGTGGCCTTATTTTCATCTTCATCTTCCTCCTCCTCTGCAACTTCTTCAAGGGAAGCCCCAACTACAGAGCTGGCCAGGAACTGCAAGAAAACAGAGATTTCCTGAGTATGAAGAACAAATAAAGTAAGGGCAACCTGTGAACGATGGTTCTAAAAACCACCCTTCCTGAGGGCTTGTGGAGTGCCGGACGGCAAAGCATTTAAGTCGGTCTAATTCCCGCACAACCGCGAAGTGGGTAGCATTATGATTTCTCATGTTATAGACCAGCAACTCAGGCTCCCAGAGCTTAAATCATTCATTTCAGGATGCTTCCCTGCTCGTCTTGTCCCCATTGAAATACAGAAATGTGGTATGGCAATGTCCCATAGGTCCATGTCCATTGCTGCACAGTTCCCAATAGCTCAGATATGGAACCAGCCTAGGTGCCCATTAGCAGATAAACAGAGAAAGAAACTGCGGCAGTTATACACGATGGAGTATTATTCAGCCACAAAGAAGCACGAAATTCTGTGCTTCGCAGCAAAAGGGATGGATCTGGAGACCATCCTGTTGAATGAAACAAGCCACACTCAGGAGGATAAATATCGGCTGTTCTCCCTAAAAGGTGAAATCTAAAAAAAAAAGAAAGACAAGAAAGTAGAAGGGGGACTATTACTGGACTCGAGGAAGAGGATAATATAGGGAGGGAGCTAGACAAAAAGCATTATACACATGGACACCCCAAAGATGTCAAACTAGAAGGGAGTAGGACACGGGGCAAAAATGTTCCAAGTACGTTATGCGTATGTATGAGCCCACCAAAATGAAACCCACTGACCTGTAGAATCAATAAAAGAAAGGGTGGAAGGAACCGCATAAGACTAACCACAACTAACGACCATAATTGTCAGGTTAAGCTAAGCAAGTCGGGTGCAGCGCCACCCCTCTGTCCGCCTCAATAAACAGTTACAGGGGGCGAACGCTGTATAATGAACCACGTAGGTAATTTGAATTTTCCTTTCTCTTTTTCTTTTTGTGGTACTAGGGATTGAACCCAAGGCCGAGTGCTCACCAGGCAAGCATTCTACAGCCCAGATACATCCTTAGTCCAGTATTCAAAATTTTTTAATAGCTGCACTAAAATAATGGAAAAGGAACAGATGGAATTAATTTGAATAATGTTTTATTTAATCCAATATACCCTACATTTTATCAATTTAACATGGAGACAATATAAAAATTATAAGGATAATTTACATCCTTCTCTTTACACTGTCTTTAAAATTCAGCGTGCATTTACATTTGTGGCACTTTCACATTTGGACTGGGACACTTGGAAGTGATCAGTGGCCACGTGGCCGGAGGGTACTGCGCTGAATAACAGGACAGAGTGAAGTAGCCAAGTGTCTCTTCTTGGTTTTGCAAAAGCTATCCTTGGGAGTGGCTGGTCTGATATTTAAGGGTTCCATTTATATATATGTAAAAATCAGTTTAATTTATATATTAAGCATGTGTAAATAATCATGACATTAGTACACTTGGAAATGAAAACCAACCAAACAGAAAGTTCTACCTTGGTTTTTTTTTGGCAGGGGCATTGGGTAAAAGATCATCCAAAAGTTAGCACGGATATTTGTCAACTTCAATCTCTTACCAGAAGATATTTTTCCCAAGTATATTTTACGACTTCATTTAAATCCAAATATACATACATATTCATTTTTACTATCCTATCGCTCAGATGAGAGAACTGATGGCTGGCAATAAGTAACTTCTGCAAGATCACAGGGGCAGGGGACAGGCATGGGAGGGGCTTGGGGTGACACTGACTAGCTGGGCAGTACAGCTGAAATCAAGAAACATGGCTTCCATTTCTTTTCATTTCTTTGTTTTTTTTTTTTTTTTTTTTTCGTTTTTCCCCGGTACCGGGAACCGAACTCACAACCTTGCGCTTGCCAGGCAGGCGCTTTGCCGCTGAGCTAAATCCCCAGCCCCCTTTTCATTTCTTTGATATGTTTCATACACCTGCTCCCAGGTTGCTTGTACAGATTAACAGCAATTACCTGGAAAGCCAGAAAGAGAAGCCCTCATTAATTATGCAACAGGGAGCAGAAACACCAAAAGGACACCCAGGATTTGGAGGCAGATTTATTTACGTCGAAGAGCACTGATCAGGATCATTACCAGCATATCAGGCCCCGATCTCAGGTGTTCTAGGGCTTATATGGGACAAGCAAGCAGGAAGTACAGAGGCAGGATGGCTTGTCAGTTGGGGACTGGTTTATACAATGTGCATTACAGTGACCAGCTATGCATCACAGGACCAGCTGTTTCTAAGATACAGGAGCAACCAGAACTTGAACAGGAACTACTACCTGCAAAACCAACAAACTGAAGTATACTGGCTCTGTGTGTGTGTGTGTGTGTGTGTGTGTGTGTGTGTGCATTTTCTGCTACAATTAAAGACTAACCCAAAAATTCTACTAGTGAGGATCTTTTGAAAAAGATCTCTGCGTATCTGAAGGCTTTAATATAAAAATACTAGGTTGTAAAACATAATTAGAGATCAAAATGGAGAAAGCAAGAAGTTAAGCTCCATCTGTGCTCCGATTCCTAACCTTAGCGTGTCACTTCCCTTGGGTACGTGAGGCTTCCCTGGGTTAGTGTACAAAGCAAACTTGGCCCTCCATGCCTCCCGCTGCTTCTTTGATTTCTGCAACAAGTATCAGCAGAGTGCCAACCACGTGTGTGCCACTGTTTAGGAGTTGGCCAGGGACACACTGGGACTGACTTTTGTGGGTCCCTTCTTCCATTAAAAATTGCAAAAATTATACTTGACGAGTGTATGCTATACAGCCCAATAGAACCTTTGACACTCAAATTTTATCTGTTTTCTGATTTTAAAAGAAAGGGAAAGGTTTTCTCAGGTCCCTAAAAGTCTGGCACGTGTGCATAGTGCCTGCTGCCTCTGCTCCTCAAGAAGTCGACCCCGAAGTCCGGCTTCCTAGCACTCAGCTCCTCTGATCTTTGAAGCCCCCCACCCCGTTTCACCTGAGTCTCTGCCCTTGCTGTGTCCCCTGGGAACTGTTTGCTGGCTTGGTCCTCCACTTGCCTCTGTCAGACGAATGTCGGCTTTCTCGAGAGCCCTTCCACCCACTCTATCCAGCCGCCATCCGACCTGCTCCGTTCTTCCCAGTGCTTCGCACGCACCGAGAAGTCGCATTCATATAAAATGTTGCCCATTGTCAGCTCCTTCCAGGAGAGGCAGGATCCCTGAGGGCGGAAGTCTTGTTTGCTCTTATTCACTGTGTAGCTCTTTGTACTAACCACCGTCCTGGCATTTAACAGGCACTCACAAATCTATAAATCCTGCTCTCCACAATGGTGATACTTAGCAGTTTCTTGTGTTTGAGACATTTTTCTTTGTGTGTAGATGAGCTACCATCTACCTGTCTATATATCTATCTATCATCGTCTTCTGTATGGATCTGTAGCTCTTTGTGGAAAACACAAGGTAGACTGCACTTGTCCTTGTACCCAGGTCCTTGGGATGCTCAGCACCCACTGCTAAGCAAGCACTCTTCGCCCCTAAGCTACATTCCCAGCCTGTAGCTGTCTTTTTCCTTTATTTTTGGAGGAGGTGTTTGAGACAGGGTCTCCCTATGGTGCTCAGGCTGGACTTTAGTTCACTGTGTAGCCCAGGCTGGCCTCAAACTCGCGGTGATCCTCTTGCCTCAACTTTCCAAGGACTGGGATTACAGGTGTGCGCCACTACCCCTGGCGTATGTACCTGTCTTTTCAGTGCTTTTCTGTTGTTTTGTTTCTGTTTGTTTTTTGAGGCACGGTCTTGCTATGTAGTCCAGGCTGGCCTTGAACTCACCGTGTAGCCCAAGTTGGCCTTGAACTCCTGGTGATCCTCCTGCCTTGGTCTCCCAAGTGCTGGGATGACAGACTTGTGCCATCATACCCAGTTTAATGCTTACTTTCTTTAAAAATAATTTAGTTATTGTGTTTCGTTAGTGCCCTTGTCCTTTCTTTCTTACTTTTTTTTTTTTTTTGGATTTTGGAAGATGTATCATTTGTTTTGAGTCTTATCTAATGTGTGTATAAAATATGCATTATCACATACAATTGTATA